AAATTTCTTTTTTTTTCCTATATGAGTATTTGGTACACATATAACTTTCAGAAATTATTTATATTCTAAATATCGTAATTCAGTTAAATAGTTTTTGTATGAGATAAAACAAACAAACATTATAGAGATTATATATTTTATTATATTATTAGTAGTTACTACGGAATAAAAAGTTTTAACGTAATTTTTCATCTTTCGGATTTAAACTTTTCGTAAAAAGTCAAAAGACTAGTCAGTCACAAGATTATGTATAACCTTCTAGGTCATTTTTATCGGGCATATATAATTTTTTCTCATTTCGCCCTTTTGAACAGGCTAGGATGTTGGGCCATGCTACCTAATAATAATCATAAAAAAAGAATTTGTTATAACATAGGATAGTTTTTATCCCAGACTTTTGGAAGGTTCTCTTGGACACGCGATATAACCGAAGTCCACGCGGGCGGAAAGCTAGTATACAATAAATTATTCAAATAATATTATATATACTTAATATACCAAAGTAAATTATTACATAAATAAATAGTTACAATCAAACATGTTTGTTCATGTAAAACATCAAGTGTTGTCAAATATTGAAGATCACGATAACGGATACTGGTCCATTGAATAAGATGAAGCCTACATCTGTCGATCCGTGCCGGGTAAATCGTTGTAGTGAGAGGAGCTTCAACAGTGCCTGGGACTTGCGACCCAGGTGTAGGTTTAAGGGGCGTCTATTTAATGCGGTTAACTCTATCAATCTGATTATTATAATTATCAATTTATCAATGAAGTATTGGAAAGGTCAATACATGTAACTGTTTGTTTTTTGTTAGCTACATACGCATAATAACTTGCTACATTACTTCCTAACATATTTTCTGTATAAATATTCTGCGCTTTAGTAATATAATATAAAGCATATTACTTTAATTGTTTTAAGTCGCGGTGGCCTAGACGTTGAAGGCCTGCCTCTCATGCATGAGGGCGCGGGTTCGAAACCTGGCAATTACCAAGGTGATTATTTCGAGTCATATGTATGTACTTTTTAAGAGTATTTAGACACCGCTGACCTTTTGGTGAAGGGAAACATCCTTAGAAAACTTAGACTTATAATTTTAAATTATAAGTTTGAAATCGCTAATTCGCCTTGATCAAGCGTAGTGATTAATGCTCTAACCTTCTCCATGTGAGAAGAGTTCTTTGCTTAGCAGAGGGCAGCAAGCTGATGATTTTTTTTTTATATTCTATGTAAGATTAAAACCAATATAATTATTTATCAATTTTATTCAAGTAATTTTTCTGTCTTATTTTAATTAGTATTTGGTTATTTCTAACATGTATAATGTATAAATTTTAAGTTCGCGTTGAGATTTGATTTCAAAACATAAAACGACATTGACTGATAAGTTATCAGAGTTCACATGTGAGCGATAAGAATTGTTTATTTTTGCATTAAATTAATCAAACTGTTTATTTAAATTAATTTACTCTCTAAATTATTGTAACTCTACATTTATAGTATAGAGAGTAATATTAGTAAATAATAGTCAGTGGTGGCCTAGTGGTTAAAGGGCCCGCATCTCATCCATGAGGGCTCGGGTTCGATCCTGGCCCTGGCAAGTACCAATGTGATTTTTTCGAGTCATATATACTTTCTAAGAGTGTTTAGACATCACTGATTAATGCATTCCCAAAGAGGGTTGATGTCATGCAGGCGACCGGTCTTAAAAACAATTAGCCAAAACTATTCACAACATGTAAGGCAGACCCTGGCTAAAGCTGGGAAATTGCTAGGTAGAAGAAGAGTACTATTAGTAAAATTAAATTATTATTTCTATGTTATATTTGAAAGTAGGTTAATTAATTTGTTTTTATATCAACACAAATCTTAAATTGGACATTTCATTATAATGTAATGATTGTATGGAAATTAACCAACGTATCTAGATTAAGATAAGTAAATAATTAATTATCTATAATAGACATCAATAGTATATATTGTGTATTAATAAAATGAATGTAGTTGAAATCCCTACTCATATTATAAATGCGAAAGTAACTCTGTCTGACTGTTCTGTACCACTGAACTGATTTTAATGAAATTTGGTACAGACATGGAGTTAACCTTGAGAAAGAACATAGGATAGTTTTTATCCCAGACTTTTGAAAGGTTCTCTTGGAAACGCAATATAAACGAACTCCACGCGAGCGAAGCTGCGGCCGGAAAGCTAGTTTTTCATATATGTATCCTTACTTTCGGGTCGCGAACCAGAATATCTAGAATGGTTGATTATTATTATACTCAAGGTCGAAGGGAAAGATCACGTGACAGACCACCAAGTCGTTATGATCAAAGCACGGCTTTAACTGGTCTCACTATAACAATGGTGTTAAGAGAAGTTAATAATATAATGCAGTGGAAAGATATTGTAAACAAATTCTCGAGAATCTTTCATTAATGAAGAAGATGAGAAAGAAGAAGATCCTTACCATGTGTTTACATCGTCAAATAAAACTGACAGTTTAAAGTTATTCTTTCATACATGTTCGTTAATAACGGTGTGAAAGTAAGTGTATGAATGATAAACTCAAGACTTGTGTTAAGATAGGCAATGCAAACTGTTGGTACTTAGAATAATCAACACAATTATCAATAAAACACTAAATATTTACATATATGACAAAAGCAGAAGCTATCAAGACGACTTTTTGATATAGTATTAACAGAAGTTTTCGTATTCTTTACGTTCGTACAAACGAAGCCAAACATAACTATTTTTTTTATGAAGTCGGTTAAATATTCAATATATTTAAGACGATATGTTATCATTTGTCTATATATCAACCTTTGTTTACTAAGGACGATCAGACGGATAAGGTTCGAACTGAATCTAGATATGTAGGTCGCTTTAAAAATTAATATCTGTTTGATATATCGAGAACATTCATCTTATTTCTATATACACGTGTGTGTGTGCATGCGTGCGTTAGTTTGTATGAGGAATGGAAATTGTATTTACTTACTGTGTGTGATTAAAATATACCCGTATACTCATATATGTTTATACGTAGTTATTACCTATATAGTATAACTTACATATTTCTTTGTAAATTGTCTGGGTTAATGTTTGTTCAAGACGATTTTGCTTAAGGGACTTCAATAAAATTTTTCTCAATTTTAGAACAGTTTGTAAAACACATATATCATCCTAAAAAGATTTAGATTATATACGTGGTAATAGAAAATTCTCTTCTATCTTCTATCTATCTTCTTCTTCTATATATATAAAAATGGATTGCTGTTCCTTAGTCTCGCTGAAACTCGAGAACAGCTGAACGGATTTATCTTATCTTAGTCTTGAAATGTTCGTGGAGGTTCAGGGAAGGTATAAAAGCTGAAAAAAATTGATTCATTTCCGGGAAAACCCTAAAAACAGCCCTTTTCTATTTCCTATACAAACGTTTTCTTTGACAACTGACTAATATGTCAATCATTTTGTCGCACTTCAGAACACGGAGATTTATGGCTTAAAGGTAAACACCAAAAAAATCTGCCAGGTCAGCTTGTAAAAATATATACATATATCTATTAATAAAGTTAACAAAACGAAATTCAATCATTGGAAGTCAAATCATTTATGAACACATTGATACATATTATAGTATTGCCCATAACTAGAACTTACCAAAAAATATCTTGAATTACCTACATAAAAAATAACAATATTGAGATATTTTCTTCCATTAATGTCCTGTATTAAAACAATATAGTTTTCAATTTAAGTACATGTCACCATATTTAATGAAAAGCTTTTAATTTTATTGCATGCAAATTTAATACCCTTCAGTGGTTAAAACCTGGATATTCGAACCACTCGCTGTTATCGGAAAAGCCTATTTGTATCCGTAATTTTAATAATTAATATATATGATAAATAGTGTTTATTTAAGATTTTAAAAAAACAATTTTTGTTATAGCCGACACAAAATATATACATAAGTATGCATAAATATTTCGATTACCTTTATATATTTTCGTAGATAATTATTATATAGGAATGTTATATTTCATACTTTTACGGTTTTTAATGAAATATGTATATAATTATACAGGGTGACTGGTGAATTACTATCGATACTTGAGGACGTGATATTTGACGATCATATATGACAAAATAAAAATTAATATATCATAAATATTAATAAACTTCTAAGTAAAGTTAACCAAAAGTTATGTAATTAATTACGCATCGTGTGAACACCCTACAGATTAGGTATACACACACACACACACACGCGTGCGGCGGCGTAGTGTTGTATCAGCACGCCGCCGCACGCGTCCACACTTGGAACACTTGAAACGTGTCCACGCTTTATTTATTTATATGGAAATTTGGTCAAAAATTAACTACCTATTTTTTTTACATAATTCGAATGAGAATCATGTACCGAGTATTCTCCTTAAATATTGATAGTAATTCACCAGTCACCCTGTATAAGTATATATATTTGAACAAATAAATAAAACACAATTTCTCTTCTAAGCAACGTCGTACAAACTGTAAGCTGACAAATTTCTCAATGATTATTTTTTAATTAAGTAAATATTTTTATATACCGTAGTACATTAATGTTGTCCTTTCAATATAATGAGACAAAGAATTTATATAGGTAGTGCATCTTTTACTTATTTATCTAATTCTTAGAAATACGATCTCTTTTCAGTTCTATTCTTATAGATGTAAGTTAGGTATCTTGAATTAACAATGACTACTGTTTATAATCACAATATAACAACATTATTAAAATAGTGAATAATAAAGTAAATATATATATTTCTATATAAAATGTAAATTTTCTTTCCGTTGTCTATGACTACCGTTGTAGGGAGAGGATCTTAATCAGTGCCTGGGACTTGCGACCCAGGTGTAGGTTTAAGGGGCCATCTATCGCGCTAATTAAATTCTATCTTTTTTATGAAGCACATTGAATTATATATTTAATATATATTTCAGTACTTCTGGAGGCCTGTAACAACGAGCCGGCGTGTCTCCAGGACCACGCTGGTCTTGAAGCCATCACACAGCTCCATCGACAGCTGGATGACGACGCGAACGGGAATGTTGATCTCAGTGAGAGTGATGACGTAAGTGTTTCAACTCCACCTATGACGTCACTAAAGCTATCCCTTCATTTATTCAATACTGATAATGTTAAATGATTGTAGTTTTAATTTTCTTCCATTTTTAAATAATTTATGTTATCGGAAATATATAAAACCTCTTTCGTAAAACTTTTTTTTTTTAAACCCGTGTGTGTTTAGCCGTATATAAAATGATTACATTACGTTTGGTTTTCTGAGATTAAATAGTTTCTTGTGGTAGCATGAAGTATCAATTAAATAAATGTAATGAGATCTCAGACTTATGCGAATGTTCTTTCCAACAGAACTAATATTTTCTTTCGGATGTACTACGCGGTTTTTTTTTTATTAATTTAAATTACATACTTCTAACGAGACGAAAATCTTTGTCAGTTGGTCTTGTTATTTGTAAAATAATATTAGTTTTATTTAAAAAATATATTTCAAAGTCAAATCTAATATATGATCTTAATTGAAGATAAACTATTTTTAAACAAAAATTATAAATAAAATGCAGTATTGTTCCTTTATATCCTTTTTGTTTTCTATTCATTAAATACGTAGTATTGTATTCATTGTAATAGCATCGCTCGTACTCATCTCGTGTGACGCTAGTTCCTTAATTGTGTAACAAAACGTTTTGCATCTGAATGTTATGTTTATCTTTATTTGAATAAAATATCATTAAAGCCTCCTTGGTATCAATAAATGAAAATGTACGTCTATCATTCGACCTTGGCCTGCATCTTTTTTTCCTCGAAAGAACCGTCTGGAAAAATTCGATAAGGAAACTTGAAGATGTCGTTAGAATTTTTACATGTTTTCAATTTAAAATCCTATTTCCTATGGAAATTACGACATCGAATATTTAAAGTGAAAGAATTTGTACAATATATAACAGTTACAATACAGAAAAAGGAACTTTAACTTTACAAGTAGTGATGTAGCAAATATTTTTTGTTGACGATAGTTTTTGTAACACGCGAATCGGTCGAGCAAAGTAAACAACAATCAAAGGTGTTAACACTGATGTGTTCTTAAACGTGGCATATTGAAATAATGTACTGATATATACATATACATGGTGACTGGTGAATTACTATCAATATTTAAGGAGCATACTCAGTACATGATTCTCATTCGAATTATGTAAAAAAAATAGGCACTTAATTTTTGACAACATTTCCGTATAAATAAATAAAGTGTGTACACGTTCCAAGTGTGGACGCGTGCGGCGGCGTGCTGATACAACAACACGCCGCCGCGCGCGAGTGTGTGTGTGTGTGTGTATACCTAATCTGTAGGGTGTTCACACGATGCGTAATTAATTACATAACTTTTGGTTAACTTTACTTAGAAGTTTATTAATATTTATGTTATATTAATTTTTATTTTGTCATATATGATCGTCAAATATCACGTCCTCAAATATCGATAGTAATTCACCAGTCACCCTGTATAAATATGTATGTATGTTTGATATTAAATTACACAAAAACTAAAAAATTTATATAGAATTTGGATTTGATAATTACTTTAGGATTTAGTCAGTGGTGGCCTAGTGCTGAGGGCGCGGGCTCGATCCTGGCTCAGGCAAGTAGCAATGTGACTTTTTCCGAGTCATATGTACTTTCTAAGAGTATTTAGACACCACTGACAGACGGTGAAGGAAAACATTGTGAGGAAATCTGGTCTTATAATTACAAAAAAATATAAGTTTGAAATCACCAACCCGTCTTGACCAAGCGTGGTGATGAACGCTCAAACCTTCTCCATGTGAGAAAGAGGCCTTGCTCAACAGTGGGCTCTGATAGGCTTAACAAAATGGATTTAGTATACTAACTAGGTCATGAATAACAAGGTGATACTATAGAGTGAAGTTAGAGATAAAATCTTGTATAGAATATTTTCCCACACACATTCTATAATAGTTGTATTCTCGACTCAATATTATTAATAAAATTAAATAGAATTTTTCAAACAAAAATAACCTAAGTCACAGTATTAATGAGACTATCAATATAATTCCTCTCAGTATCGCTCCAAATGTTTCAGAGATAGGTGGAATAGACATACAAATAATGTATTAATTGGTATATATAGGTATTAATCGATACATGAAAATGTGTTTAGAGAAAAGTATTATATTAATTTACTCAAATGTAAAATTATTATTAGTATAGATATAAATATTTCTCATCGATATTTAACCTTGGAATGTCCAATAATTTCAGTTCTTGCGCGAGGAGCTTCAATACGACAGCGGCTATGAGAAGCGCCAGCGAGCCTTCCATCACAATGATGACATGCATATATCGGTCAAAGAACTATGGGAGGCCTGGCTTAGATCAGAGGTAACATAACACACTATAAAATATATATAGTAAGTGGGAGAGCTTAGCTGTAGTCATGTAACTACAGCTCGAACATGTGCTGGCTCGACCGGGGAAGTACCACCCTCTCACAGAAGATCGGCGTGAAGTAGCCTTTAATGGCTGCGTTTCGTCCGATGAGTGAGAGGGCCGGTTGTCTTTTTCCTGTTCCCTCCTTTTCCTGTCATTTCCTTATTCCAACCCTCCCTCTTCCTACAAAACCAGGGTTTTTTTTATTTTTATGTAAAAGGTGGTAAACGAGCAGACGGCCCACTTGATGGTCAGTAGTGACCGTCGCCCATGGACATCCGCAACATAGATGTTGCGGATGCGTTGCCAACCTTATATGTGGAGGAAAAGGGAGGGGTGGGAATAAGGAAATACAAGGTTGGCAAAGTACCCTCAACAGAGATGTTGTGGATGTCCATGGGCAATGATGACTACTGCCCACCAAGAAGGCTGACTGCTTGTTTGCCACCTTTCACAAAAAAAAAAAAAATATAATATAAATACATATAATCTTAACAGTATAGTTACAAATACAAGTTAATTGTAAAGTATTGAAAACATATATAATTAATTTCAAAGCAATATTTAAAATGTGACATTCCAATAGTTTTATCATATCAATAAATTAATTTAATTTTACAAACAAACAAACATCAATAACTCTGTCAGATATACTTATTATATTAAATAGCTAAAGAATACACATTTTCATATTGCATATGTTTTTTATAGCACACCAAACCTTAAAGCGCAAATCATTTTCTACAAAGAGCGCCTAAATAATTATACATACAAGTAAATTAAAATTAAAATTTACTTAGATAATAATTTATTATGAAAACCTATAATAGTTTGTAATCTTCATTATATTATGTTATATATTGTCAGGTCCACAATTGGACGGTAGAGCAGACTGTGGTGTGGTTGTCCGAATCTGTGGAGTTGCCGCAGTACAGAACGCTGTTCCTGCAGCATAGGATCACTGGTGCAGCATTACCGAGGTAAGGATGAACACAAATGCACGCACACACGCACTCACGCTCACACGCAAGCACGCACGCACACACATTATATTAGTAATATGTGTATATAAATTCCTTCTATTATAAACATATGGTCGTATTTATATATCATATAGGCTAATGAGTCTCGTGCCTTACAAAGAAATATTTTTTTTTTTGGTTCAAAATTAGCTTTATTCATCAACATAATTTCTTACCGGCGGGTATTTCTTTCATTTCTGCGAACAGCCCGTAGTCGCAAATACGATAGATGTGGGCCCAATTCGAAATTTATGTAGTTTTGCCACTGTTTTGATCGACTCGTGACACGGTGTGTTGTCTTGATGAAACATATATTTTCTTTACCATATGCGGTCGTTTCTTTGCTATTTTGTCCCACAAGCGCTCGAATAATGCTATATAATATTCTCTATTAATTGTATTACCTTTCTCAAGTTAGTCGATGAATATCACACCGCACATATCTAAAATTATTTATTTATAGGTTCGCTAGCCATTTTTACACAAATGAATAATTAAATAAAGTTACATATAAAATTAAAAACATGCATAAATTGTGTAAAATCAGTTAAAAGCAAACACTGCATGCAACTAAATTAGTTGAAAATACAAAGTGAAATCAATAAATAATAATTAAAAACATTCAAAACGAGAATATTCAAAAATGCAGACTAAAACTTTGTGAAAAAATTAAACAAAACAATTCAAAGAACTCAACCAAAACTCACTACAATTGGCTGGTCAGGCCGCTCACAATTAACCTCCGAAAGGTATCAGGCGAATCCAAACCAATATCAATTAAATGACTCAAACCATTATAAAGTTTGCATAAACGGGGAGGGCTAAAATTGGTGCCGAAAACTGTTCTTGTGCGTGGAGGCACAAGGGGAGTAATAGCGTGTCGCGGATATCTATTAAGCACTCTGAAATTTATTTTACTGAGTAATCTAGGGCAGTCCAAATGTTTTCTTAATAGTTTATATTAGAACAAAAGATCGAGTAAGTCTCTTCTTTTGTCAAGGCTCATCATTTTAAAATAGTTTAATCTATCCTGATACATATATGAGGTTATCGTTTTATGAATTTGAGGCCATAACCTTTCCAGCCGATTGTTGTTCTTTCGGCTGCTTTGGACGAGGTTCGCTAGTTGCTATCCGATCAGATGATGATTGCTTTGAATCCGGAGAGAAGTGATGGATCCATTGTCACATAACGAAACAAAAAAATCCTATTTGTTACGTTTAAACATATCCAAACACTGCTCAGAATCATCAACACTTTGTTATTTTTGCTCAAAAGTAAGCAAACGTGTCACCCACTTTGAAAAGAACTTTTTGATAGTCAAATGCTTAGGCAATATAAAACCAACACGATATTTTGATATTTGTACGATTTTAGCTAACTCGAGCAACTGCACTTTTCGATCATTCGAAAGTATTTTGTGGATTTTTTTATGTTTTCTGGAGTTAACGCCTCTTTTGGAAATCCACTGCGTTCTGCATCATCCGTGTATCTACCACCACGTTTGAAATCAGCAAACCAACCTTTTATTCTTGTTTCCGATAAATCGGAGTCCCCATAACGCTTTGAGCCATTGCTTTGCTTGAACGACATTTTTTCGCATTACTCCAGAAGTAGGGTAAAATTAAAACTAAATTGTTATTGATCCATTGTTTTGAAAATAACAAAAGTAGCGTCACTCTTAGCACAATAACTCACAAACTAATGAATAGAATATCATGAAATTATCAGCTGTCCTTTATACATTAGTATAAACTGACAAAAAAAAGTGACTGCAGTAAAACTAGCGCCATTAATGTGTTAGGCCCGGGAATTACTCATTTTTGCTACTTACCACAATACATATATTACAAATTTAATGCAGTTTTATTAAACACTACAAATAATGGGTTATGAATTTTGATTCCTAGTTGAATATATACATAATATGTAAGGATCCAACAACATAATTTCATTTTCTTTTTTTGACTGCATATTGCTTGACTTATTAATTCAGCCGTTGGAAAATGGTGGTAGTGTTTTGAAGGTAGAACTGAAGTAGTAGCTGCTGAACACACTGTCTTATAAGGCAATTCGCTATTTTCTTGTAGACTTGTTCACTCTTTTCTTCCAAATTATAGCTTAAAGGAACTTGATATTATATGTTCTTCATATAATTATAACAAAAAATGAGTTTTTTTATCCAAATAACATATAGTGTTTAAACTCTTCTTCTTCTACCTGGCAATTTCTCTTTGGCCAGGGTCTGCCTTACATGTTATGAATAGTTTTGGCTAATTTTATTTTACGACCGGCCGCCTGCTTGACATCAACCCTCTTTTTGGGAATCAACATTAATCGGTGAGGTCTAAATACTCTTAGAAAGTACATACGACTCGGAAAAATCACATTGGTACTTGCCAGGGCCAGGATCGAATTCGCGCCCTCATGCATGAGAGGCGGGCCTTTTAACCACTAGGCCACCGATGACTATATGTATGTATTTATATGTGTGTATATCTCTTCACAGATTGGCTGTAAACAACATGCAATATATGAGCAACGTTCTGGGTATAAAGGACCCTATACATAAACAGAAGCTGGCCTTAAAAGCAATGGATGTTGTATTATTTGGACCGCCTAAAGGTAAGATCCTTTTTATTATAACTCACACATATATAATAATAATATATTTTCTTTATAACTTTCCTGCTGCTTAATAACTATGTTTCTCACATATGTTATCTATCAATATAACAAGTTTCATCGGATAATGTTAACTATTTTTAATCGGAGCTAGACAATGTTCTGAATTGTAAAAGGAAAATTTATTGGTGTAGATGAACATATGCTATAGTATTTGAATATAATAAGAAATTAATTTACTTTAACTAATACACATATTAAAGGAGAAAATTTTATCAGTTAAATATGAAAGTACTGAACTTGATTATAAAAATATACATTATTTATTTAACTATGTATATAATTGTTATATTATATATATTAATATACTTTATAGTAAAAAATACATAAAGAAATTAATAAGGATGAAATTCTTATATACTTAACATTGAACTGATATTTACTTCATATATATTTGTAAGCAATAAAAAAACATATTTCATAAAAAATTCTATTCATATAGAAAATTTTATATAAAGAGAGAATTATTAAGTCGAATTTGTTTCATACTAATTATTATATTTGTATTAATAAATAATTTTGTTAGTCACATTTTTTTATACTCTTAATATTCTTTATATTAGACTAAAATACTGGAAGTTTAAATGTGTCTGTTTTTTATATGTTTATTATGTTTTCGTCGAGGATTTTTTCAATAATTTATACATTATTGTTACTTTTCATTTATTGATGCGAATTTTTGGTGACTATATTTTCAGGTATCATTTTGAATATAAAATCACTGTCACACAATAAAATGATAGTTTAAAAAAATCAGCATTAATCCCTACTATTATTATAAATGCGAAAGTAACTCTGTCTGTCTGTTACGCTTTAACGCCTAAACCACTGAACTGATTTTAATGAAATTTGGTACAGAGATAGAGTTGAACTTGAGAAAGAACATTGGATAGTTTTTATCCCAGACTTTTGAAAGGTTCTCTTGGAAACGCGATATAAACGAACTCCATGCGGGCGAAGCTGCGGGCGGAAAGCTAGTGTATCATACATAGATTTATATCAGTATGGTTAGTACGAGTTAATATCGTCATACTACGCCGCGTTTCCCGTTACTACTATCAAACTATGATTAATGTACAAGATGTATGATTAAAATACTATTAACGTCACGTTTTTAGTAAGAGAATGCTGACTTAGAGTAAGCATAATATTTTTAGCTTCATCATATTTTATTTCACAAAAATATATTTAAACGTTTCGTACAAAAAGTTTCCGGGTGATATTATTGTTCATACTGAAAAACTTTAATGGTTCTGTAATAGTGTTTTTTCTGTAATAAACCTCTCTATTGTTATGGTGGTATGGAAGCGTTTGCGTAATTGCGGTTATTTAAATATATTATAAAATGTTTTGTTGTACTACTGTGTATGTATGAAAAACATATATATAAGTGTGTGTGTTTGTTTGTTTGTTTCAAATACACTTACTACACGTATACCGTATATTATGTACCGAGTCATAAAAAATACTCAAAACGGAAGTGCAATCGTATAAATGTTAATTTCATTTATTTACTTGTTTTGCTTTCGATATATATAATTTGACGATGAGGAAAACCATTTAACAAGATATATTTGTTTTGTTTATTTAAGATATTAAATTATAAATTAATATTAGAATAAAAAACAAAAAACTAAATAGAAATCTGTTAATCTTAATATCAAATCCTTTTATTGTTTTGCTATAAAGCTATAAAAATGAATGATCATTTTGTTTACTTGTCAGCGTAAGAAGTCGGTGTCCAAAGCTAGTTTTAATACATTCTAACAATACAATAAGTAGATGATATATTTCTTTATTATATAGGAGTTATTAAATCATTTTCATATTGTCGCCACGAGTACATCAAGACGTGGGAATGTTTTGAATTTTTTACTCGACGGAACACTGTTTATTTCCATAGAAAAAAATTTCAACTACCTTTAGTCATATATCTATAGTCTGTTTGAAAAAAAGTGCTCATATAAGTCGATTGAATCCGAGAGAAGCCACGTTAAAAATCATATAGGTATATATGTCATTTGAAGAGCACTTAATGACTTACACGTAATAAGTCCCACACATTTATATGTATACTCGACAATATGACAAATACATGTACAATACATATTATATATATATGTATAATAAAAGATAAATAAATCAAACATATGAAATTCTTAAAGGTAGTACGACACCACGAAGGTCACAAAAATAGCCCGCCATATAAAGACGAACAAACATAAAATACTAAAACATCGAACGGCACTAATTCCTTCAAATCAATTAAACCATGGTGTCACTACTCACTGGCCTTTACGTTCCGTTCAGTCTACGCGCGGCGATGTGACGTGCAGTTTGTTCGTGAAATAATAACTCGTACTAATACTGTTGATAGTTATAATGAAAATTTAAGTTTTTTTAATGTGTGATAAATGCTATTTGAGGAAACTATAGCCTTCACGTCTACGTGTTTGGCGTTTTTATTCATCAGCTGTCGCTATGTGGACGAAGGTTATTATATTACATATATGTATAAATATATGTCTATCATTTTGATTTGAAATTATTTCTTTGATTTTTACCTTTTAAAAATCTATACTAAGTGATACAAATGAATTGGTGTATTTATTTGGGTGTGTTATATTTGAATAAATATTACGACGTCTATACTATAGTATCGTTAATTTCGATGATTTTTTATTAAATTATATATGTAATAGATTGTTATATTTAAAATAGTTCTTAATGTGGCTCTATAAAGGGTATCTTTTATATATTTTTTAATAATAATGTAATTATTTTATATTATAATAAGCTAATTATATTAAATTTTGAACGCTTTCTCATTCATATATTATCATTGGTTATATTAATAGAACAATGGATATGACTAAATCTGGTCTCGATGAAGTCTCATGACGCTCGGAGAAGCGTCAGAATTACTACGGTAATATATTACTGTGGTAATATATGTCATGTAACAATTACTATTGTAATATTAGATCAGTTTATGTATATTAACTTTAGGATTCTCTACGTATCATCATTTCAGCGATTTCTATAGAGACATTGTCATTCGCTTATTCTAGACCATATTTCCAGATTCCAAGTAAAAGTCAGAGTTTCCCAAACATTTAATTTAATATCTTCTTTTCGTAAATATTCTTTAAGTAACTTTTTGAATGATTTAAGTTTCATAGTTTAAAATTTTATGTGTTGTTTACTCTTAAACAAAGATTATTACTTCGTACATCGCATACATTAAATTTTTAAATCAATATTTATATACACTCGTGTCCATACATACAGATTCAAGTATATAGAATTTTAAATCTAAAATCTCCATATAAATAATATGTTCGTATAACTTAGTATTGCTTAAGCGCTATCATAAGTCTAGTCTAGTCCAAGTCTAGTCTATATAGAAGTATTTTTTTACGACAAGTCTCTGCAATGTATTTCATATTAATAGATTTATTTATATATTATTCTCATACTGTCTACGTCAATGTATTCCAATTTCCAACACGTGCATACTGTTCGCAACACTAATGGTATATTGTGTTTGATTTGCCGGTACGTTATCCTGTTTATAACGCCAATTTATTTCAAGGTAATTAATGAAATTTATTTATTGTTTATAAATTTTTTCCGCACTTTTACATGTCCCCTTTATATGTAGATAAATGAACTTTTAGTTAGTACTTTAGTTTAAATTTGAATTGATTTTTTTGGCCATGGAATGTATGCTTTGTATTGGTCATTGCTATTTTTCATATCATTAATATTTTATGGAAGTCTAGACTATATTGAATGTTCTAATGTTTCAAATAGTACCCCTTATTATCTCTGTATTAACAAAATGTAATATTATTTTGTTTTTCTTTGGTATTTATAGCACTCGTAGTGATAGTTAATATATTATATAGTTTGTGAATGATTCCTGCACTATACAGCTTTTATCTTTAAATTTACTGGCTCTACACTATCAGCTTGTAGATATGAAATTTTTTGTTTTATTTTGAATATATGAAATCATGGCGTATATACACTGCTTTGATTTGACGATTCCAAGAAAACAATATTGATGAAGAATGGAAATGAGATTAATTCTTACATGAAGTTGTTTTTTGTATATATGTTTCTGTAACGAGCTTGCAAAAGCATTATAAAGGGTTTTGAGTTAAAAAACTTTCATAGCTAACAAACAATCCAATCGCCTTCTAGCTTTTTGTTTGCTCCGAAAAATACCTATCAATCGATACCACAGTATGGTGAAATCTGAACTCATGCCTGGATGTAGTGGCTTTAGTGTTAGATATAAATAAATTGTAAGAAGTAGATCCATATGTAATATTAGTACTTTTACATGACCCTTCATATCATAAATAATATATTATACAGAGCACTTGTAAACAAAAATCTCATTTCTATCTTTGATATGGGAATCGTCACTAAATCAAAGTGTAATACGTCATAAAAATATGCTCTAAGAGCTGTTTGTTGTATTTACAACAGAAGGCAGTCGTTGGAAGGACTGGTTGTTAGCGTCGCTGTTGTTGGGCGCTGTTGTTGGTGGGTGGGCAGCGTTGAGGGCGGGTCGAGCCAGCAGGCATCAGGTGCAGAGGATGTTGAGGGACATGGAACATCTGAGGAAAGCTGAAATGGCTTTGGACGATATGCAGAAAGAATTGGAGAAGGCGCGGCTGGAACAGGTATGAGAATTATGTAGTATAGATTCTCGAAAACAAATATATATCTTAATATATATAATTCTTCTGTGAGTGTGTATGTCACTGAACTTCTCTCAAACCACTGGACCGATTTTGATGAAATTTTTTGTGTGTTCAAGGGGATCTGGGAATGGTTTAGATTCATAATTTTGTCAATGTTTTTTTAATTAATTTTAAATTTATTGGTAGTTGTTGATACAAACGGTTTTTTTTTGACGTTAGATTTGACAACTAATGTGTCAATCATTCTGTCGCACTTCAAAACACGGATATTTATGGCTTTAATAGGTAAACTCCAAAATTAAAAAAAAAAACGTAACAGATATTTCTTGATTATAGAGCGATAAGAAGTTCGCCGGGTCTTCTAGTATGTATATAAATTTTGTGTGTTTTGTCTGGTTCAAAATAATTAGAGTTATATCAGATTTCAAATTATTAATAAGTTTAAATATTCATTTCATATATTGAAATACTAAAATTGATAAGTTAAATAAAACAAATAAGCGTACATGTAATATCAATCTTAAGATATATCTTAAATAAAATTTTCCAGGAAAGCGTTACGACAGAAAAGAAGAATCTAGAAAAGAAATTACAAGAAGCTGGAGATACGCCGATGTTGAACTCAGCGTCGTCAGATCTAGAAGTTACTCAACTCAAGTCAGAAATAGAGGTGACATAACAATAATACATTGATATACATCACCTAAATAAACACACAGAAACGTGAATTAATTAAAACACATTCCACAATGAGTCATATAATATTACGATAATAATTATTTACTATGACCAAAACACTCTAATGTAATAGACGTGATATGAAAATTAATAAGTAGTGATTAACATTAAACCTTATTATAAACTCAATAGATCTTATTATAGCTTGGTATAATTCTCAATATTCAGATGCTTCGTGCCGAGCTGCGTCGAGCTGAAGGTGAGCTTGAAGACCGCTGCTGGGCGCCACCGGCAGGTTTACAGCAGTGGCTGCAGTTAACACACGAGATAGAGAACAAGGCTTACCTTAGGAAGAAACAAACAGCTGATGGGCAGCTGCAGCAGGCTAGGGACGCGGTGAGTGACAGAGATAGATAGAGAGATGGATGTAAGAGAGAAAGAGATAGAACGATACGGACAGACGGTTAGAAGAGCGGTGGTGAGTGAAAGATATAGATAGGGAGATGGACGTAAAATAGAAAGAGATAGAGCGATGTAATCAGGCGGAGAGGGTAGTAGTGATTGAAAGATATAGACAGGGAGGTTGACGTAGGAGCGAAAGAGACGGAGCGATCCTATCAAGCCGAGAGGATATAGTGAGTGAAATAGATAGACAGGGAGGTGGGCATAGGAGAGAAAGAGATAGAGCGATATAGTGAGATGGAAGGCGTAGTAGTGATTGAAAGATGTAGACAGGGAGGTGGATGTAAGATAGAAAGAGACGGACGATACGATCAGGCGGAGAGGGTAGTAGTAAGTGCAAGAGATAGACAGGGCGTAGGAGAGAAAGAGATAGACTGATACGCTCAAATGGATAGCGAAGTATTAGAGAAAAGACGATGAGTGAAAGAGATAGAGCATGGATGTAATCGTGCGAGGGTCGAAGATGTTCATAAAGTGCCATAATTATGTTTCGAGGGAATAGTAATATGTACTGTGTAGAAAGAGAAGTAATGTTTAGAGAAATTGGACGTCGTACACGTAGTTAAAGAGAGGGAGATATTTATAGAGAGACAGAAATACATTTAGGGGAGAAAGTAATTACTAAATTAAAAGAGAATGTCAATAACATAGTTGACATAGAGACAGCCTTATATTGATCTCATGGAATGAATATTAATTAACTTGTTTTTTATTGTAGAAAGAGATAGATATATTGATATAATAATTTTCTAAACACCAAAAATATCACAATAACATAAAAACAATATATATTCCAGTGTGAAAAGCTACGTAAGAAACGATCCAGTCTAGTCGGAGCGTTTGTATCAACACACGGCAAGTCCATAGATGATGTAGACCGAGCCATAGTAGAGGCTAGGACTGCCCTCAATGAAGTTACTCAAGAACTACAGGTACATATAAAAATAATATATCAAGTTAATAACAATTGTGAATAACATTATCATTTATAAATGAGCTATATGAATTTAACTTCAATTAAATATATATTTATATTCCACTTGTTCTCATCCGTTCAGAAGTCTCGAAATCCCAGGTCTATGCCCAAAAGTGTTCATGAATCTTTCATTCTATATATTTATTGATATGGAATTAAATTATTTTTAATAACTTACTTGTGCAAAAATGTTCTATATATTTTTACAAATTGTATATACCAATATATATTCTAAAGCCTATGTTTAGTATATTAAGATGTTAAGAAAATAGATCTTAAGATTTGTCTTGAGATGAGCCATTCTCTTCACTCTATGCTCATACCACCCAGTCATTGTCAAACATCAGTACCTTACAAAACAAAGTTTTAATCTTTGTACTATAAAGAATAATAATTACACTATTGTTAATAGTTTTGTTTATACATATATATGTATCTTCTCACTTTTGTTTTGCCAGAATTACATTTTTTTGCCACTATTATTTAAAAATAATTTAATTCCAATACAATAATTCCATAATATAATTATGCTATATAAATTAATCGCATGCATTACATCTAACTCTTAATTCTTTTGTTGGTCATCCGCTAATATTAGGATGTAACATGGGTGGTAAGGTAATGGTTGAATGTATTGTAACATGTATTGTAACACATATTGTAACATGTATTGTAACAATGAATGTTATAAATATTGGAATGAAGAATGGATGCCCAGTGGTGTCGCATTATTCTTTTATAAGGCTGAATTGCTGCTACTTGCTTTGTCTGGATAGAATTCGGCCTTTATAAGAGAAAAAATGTGACATTTATCATCATGGTGCTACGGATATAACAAGAAGATTATATATTAACATTTAATTAATATAACTAAATTAGTTAAAAATTATACATATGCATATACATATTTTTCATACAAAAAATTTGCAGCCATTCATTTTAAGGTTTCAAACATAAGAACGCCTGTATTTTGTGTTCTATAATAAAAAATATGTATTGCTCTGATTTTATAAGAAGCTATGTATTTTTATATCAATAATATTAATTAAAACCACTAACATATACTAACTTTTCTGTAGCATGATAAAATGTATCATAATTGAAGTGATCTATATACAGTATATTTCTTTTAGGAACGCATGCACCGATGGAAGCAGATTGAAAGGTTGTGCGGCTTCAATATAATAAATAACAACGGATTACAGTTCCTAGAGAGCACCCTGTATAGAACTGCTAACGGAAGACAGGGAAAAGGTTTGCATATTAAGTTTCAATATGTTATAGTATAGGATTATTGTTTTTATATGAATAAATCGAGTATCAAGTAAGAAATTAAGTAACATATTGAATATAGTGACTCAATGGATGTAAAAATAAATTACCTATAATATATATTACTATTGTTTTCAGTCCGAGTGAGCAGTTCGCAGGATGATCTCAGCCTCGGAGACGACACGTCATTGTGCGGATCAGGTAACGAAGTGTTCCACGATCATAGCGACTGATGGGCCGACTATAAATTGATTACGGACTGACTATGAACTGATTACGGACTGACTATAAGGTAATTACGGACTGACTATGAATTGATTACGAACCGACTTGGAACTGATTACGGAACGACTATAAACTGATTACGGACTGACTATGAACTGATTACAAACCGACTTGGAACTGATTACGGAACGACTATAAACTGATTACGGTCTGACTATGAAGTAATTATGGACGTTAGTCCTAAACTATGAATTGATTACGAACCGACTATGAACTTATTACGGACCACCTACAAACTGGTTACGGACTGACTATGAAGTAATTACGGACTAACTATGAATTGATTACGAACCGACTATAAACTGATTACGGACTGACTATGAATTGATTATGGACCGACTTCGAACTGATTACCGACCGACTATAAACTGATTCCAGACTGACTATGAAGTAATTACGGACTGACTTTGAACTGATCACGACCCCACTGAACTGATTACGGACCGACTGTGAATTGTTTACGGACTGACTATCTTCTGCTTCTGATTTACAAAAGGAAATAGTAAATTCGAATGCTTTTATTTATATTTTAATTTCTTGTAATGTAGTTTTTGGTCTCATACCAAAAAGAAACAAATAAGAACACAAGAATAAAAGATTGTTTAAAGATGGTCGAATTTAAACAATAATTATTGATAAAAAGATCTTATATAAACGAAGGCACAATTTGTAGGCAACTTCATTAATACTATTTATTTTTATCAAGTGTACATTAATTAGTAATAATTGTTCTAATTAATCTCATAAAAGACATCTTTATACTTATTGTAGTTTTTATGTTTTAGACTATTTTCATATGACAATAGCTCAAAGTAAAAAAAAAATGAGATACCATTTCTTAGTTGAAATTCTCAATAAGGTAGGATAATAAATATACATTTATATATATGAAATTGAATAACAACGAATTTTAACTATTTTAACGTACTTAATACTAATAAAATTAATGAATGTAAAATAAAATGAATTTTCATGTAAAAGACATTGTTATAAAATGCTTAATTTAACAGAGGCTCTTAATGATATTATATTTACAAAATATTGTGAATTAATATTGCATTATGATAAAATTTCTAGCTGTTAATGTATATGAAAAATCTTCAAGGCGGCTTTATAATGAGCATCTTTTATTAGTTTTTATATATATATGTGGAGTAATTTTATTAATTATAGAAATATTAGTGTTCATAGAACTGTTAAATATAAAATCTTCTTAATCAGCATGTCTCAAATACTTAGTTCATAGTTATAATATTTATTGTCTGTTAAGATATTTTATTATATGTATCGATTTGTTTTAATAAATGATTTAAATTAAAATTTATTTCGTCACAATCGCTACGAAGCTTTCAGGCATTGTCTCGATAGTAAAAGCATGTATGAAATATATTGTATCATAAATATGTTATTGGTTGTGGGTTTGTATGCATGTTGACCATTTTCATCAAAGTGTATATCATTATATACTTTATTTTGAATTTATAAGCGTTTATACTATATACAACAAAAGAATTCTTATTTTTAAGGGAATTTTGTGTTGTTTAAAAATTTTTAGTTCTCAAGAAAAAGAATAAAGCATGTTCATATGTAGATAATTAATTAATTATTATTTGCTTATTTGTAGCTTATTAAATTTATTTTGAAGTGTTGCAAAAATTTTTATTTCTGAGAACTTATCATTATAAATTATGTTATGATTTTAAAGAATAATGTATGTATTTAGCTTTTTTTTGTAAATGTTGCTAATTCCACCTGTGTTAATTAGACATTTGCAATTATTTTGATCAAATATAATTTTATATATAGTAAATCTTAGTTGTATTGCCTATAGCTAGATATAAAAACTTGTCAATAACAATGCATTGTTTTGTTTTAATTCACTTTCCAGGCTTGTAATTAACAAAATATATATTTATATATATGTCGGGTAAATATTTTATACTTCTCTATTTTATAAATTTCTTTGCACGTTTGAAAGCTTTTGAAGATTGTGATTTTGTTTTATTTTTTATTTTTGCCCCTTTCCGCTTCTTAGTATAGCAAACTTAGACAGCAATCACTTACAGGTAAGAATATATTTTATGTAGTAATATCAATTGGTGGCGTTGCATTGTTGGGATAACATATTTCATACATGCTTTTGTTGGGTATATATACACTTATTATATATTATAATTATATAAAGAGCATGTCTGTAGAATATTATAATATTACTAGTTTTTAATAGGGAAATGAATATATTATCTGAAGAGAAAGCATCAGAAATTTTAGTGATTTTATAAAGACGATATGTATAATATTATATTATTAGCGACAGACACTTTGGGTTGGCGAGAGGATTCATCAGGCAGCGAAGCAGACTCGCCTCATTACCCTCTAGATCTGAGACTGGCAGAAGCCAGGTATGTTAAGAGTTATTAAACAAAATAATTAATAATTATTATTTAGTGTTTAATTTATTACTAATTGTGAAAAAATTACCTTAGGTCGTTAATTTATAAAATATTTCAGCTCAAACTTTCTTCTGATAATCTGCTTCCGATGTAGATACGCGGATATGATAATTTAACATTATATTTTATAATTCAATATTATATTTTCCAGGCTTCAATTAGAAGAACGTCTGGCGCAAGAAGCGCGGGAGAAGAGAATGGATGAGAGGAAGGAAGAAAGAGCGAGGGAGAGAAGTTTATACAATGACGTCAGAAAGAGTCCCACTGATGATAGGAAGAGGGACCAAGTACACTTTATACTGGGAGGGGACAAGTAAGTATAGAAATGAAGTGATTGATTCTATAGATGGCTTAAGCAAGCAAAATAAATTGTCCATTCCTTGAATATAAACTAGTCAAACCAAAATAGGGCCCACTTGGTTTTTATTATCGAAAATAAAAACTGACGAAAAAATTATTTTTTTATGAATAGATGTGTTAAGGGTCAAGTGTTATGAATTGTCCAAACCAATCAAACTAGGAAAAAAACTTCAATTTCCTTAAAAATACACATAAACATTAAAAATTACAATTTACTCTTAAAAAAGTGATCTTGACAATTTTGATTTCATTTCCAATAAACTTTTTAATTATTAGATTGATAAATTCATTGGTGTCGTTTCAGTGTTAACTGGACAGGCGAGGACTTGACCCGTGCGTCTCACTCGCAGTCCCAACCTCAACTGCGTTCTTCTCTCCGCGGCGCTCCGGGCGTGCCGCTCCCCCCTCCACGCCGGCCCGGCCCCGGCCCTAGCATTAATCCAACGACCTCCCAACTCATGGAGAGGTCGCGCAGCACCGACCACGTGTTCGACGACCCTCGACCCCCTCCCAGACAACCATTCACCAGACAGAAGGCACTTGCCGAAGGTAACGAACGAACCGAACACACTCCGCCCGAGGAAGAGTCCACGGACTCGTCGCTGATGGAAGAAGACGGCGCGCCTAAACCGAGGAAGAGAAGAATACATCTACCCTTTGGTAAGAAATCAAAGACCCCCGCGTGACGTCACACAACTGATATTAATAGCACGATTTTTAGATACCAACGTGTACTTTACTAGAAATTTTGCATATTTTGAAATAATTTATTTGTTTGCCGTTGTTTGATATTTATACATCTTCCTTTTATATATATTTTTGTCGTTATATGTACCTGTCTTATTTTTATATTATATATTGCTTTTGAAAGTGGTTTTGGAATCATTTTAAAATATTGTGTATTCTAGAGACAATCCTTGAATATAGCGTATGTATTTCCAATTTAGATTTTTCTTTTATGAATCGTATATATGAGTATTATATGTATGTTACCCCGGCTAGTAAATTGTTATTGATGTTAATTTGGTTATAAACTGTCTAGAGGCTTGAATGTGATTCTCCTATATTGTGAAATGCAATATTATGTGTTAAGATTATATGAATTGCCATTTTAAGTAGCAACATGAAACAATATAGAAATATCACATACGTGCCTGTAATATAAGGCCTAGAAAATTTTATCGTAAGTTGTGCTTTTTATCTTATTTATACATACATTTGAGTCTTGAGATCCGAATTTTCATAATCCAGTATAATAGTTAATCAATATATTGTAATTACTTGTCCGGTTGTATAATGTATATTTCAAGTTTACATGATAGCAAATTATACATTGTATAAATGTAAATATACTTACGACCATATCGCATCATTCCCTGTTTTTTTTCGTAGTTTGATAGCGATATATTATGTGCCCCATAGATTTAAAATAGTGTAAGACAATTTGGTGCTATATGAATATTTCAGACTGAAATCCATAAGACCAAATTTTAATAAAATCTGTGTAACTCGCATCACTCATACAAATGTCTTCCAGTTCATAGTATTGGAAGAAGTTTCCCTTATATACTTACCATTATCTGTGTTGAATTATTGAGAATATCGTTAAAAGTTAGTTAAATTGTGTTGCTGCCATCAAAGCCCGAGCCTAGCTTAATATAAGTACTTAAACCATGTTGAATAGCAAACTAGATGTACTTAGTTTACGATATCGAAGTAACGACAATACGAATCGATCTGCTGATTGTTTAATATGAAATTTTATTAAGACTGTCACAATAACTTCTACAGTATTAGTCCACTCGCAATGATAGAAAATCAACTCAATATATGAATTTAAGAATAATTTCTACTTGGCATTTGTTAAACAAAATGGTCACGTTTTTTATCTTACTTGATCAGTGTATTATCAGTGTGAATCAAATTCTGACAGATGTATTACAAAAAGACAAATCGTGATAAATTATTAATAAAAAATATTATAAAAATGTATATTTGTTTCATTTACAATTACATTTAAGGAATTCATGTCTTCTCTTAAACCAGACAGACGTCCTTTATGTCAAAGGTCTTTCTGACCCCGGGATTTTGGTTATGGGTCATAATTGTTAATGAAACGGGTGTCCGGGATTTTGGAGAAAATTTAAAAAACTCGTCATTTTATAAATGGCACACCATACCATAATAAGTTATGTACAATTATGTATTATGTAAATTTACAAGTTGTGAATGAATACCAAGTGTTCAGCATATATCAGAGCAGCTTCTGAAAATACTTAGCCTTTGCTGTAAACTCTGATTTTATTCAACTGACCATAAAATGTAAAGGTGGCATAGCCACTAATCAGAGATGTCTCTATAAGAGATTCTATTTTTTTAAGTTTCTAGATGAGCCGAGTATACCATAAGCTTATCGCAGTTAACAAAATATCCGGTATCTGGCCAAACCACTATACCAGGGATGTCCAAACCATGGCCCGCAGAATCTTTTTTATATACTCTTTGTTTAAAAACATCAATGAGCAAATTATTTTGATCACGATGAAATTCAAATTTTTTAAAGGGTATGTTCGATCACGTCGCACACATCATTTTTTTGGACCACCTCAAATACATAGACGAAATAATCGTCAAATTCGAGCGGCGGTTTGCAGGTTTTTAAAAAATTGAGATTGATATAGCACTCTTTACTAATCCATTAACGATTGCAGTTGAGAGTGTGAAGATTGATTATCAACTAGAACTGTGTGATCTGCAATCAGACTCCTTTTACAAGGGCAGAACAGAAACATGGATAGTTTTTTTAAGCTCCTCGTTGAACGTTTCCCTAAACTGGCGAATTTCGGGCAAAAAATTGGCTCGATGTTGGGCAGTACCTACCTTTGTGAGAGTGCATATTCAGCAATGAAGCTAATTAAATCGAAATACAGGTCTTCAATGACAGATACTTTACTTAAACATGCACTGCGCCTAGCTAATATTGAGGTTGATACATATTGACAAAATTATTAAAGACAAATTAATGGAAAAGTACTTAATAAAATTACGATATTATTATTACGAGCATTTTATTTTTATAAATATTTTGCGGCCCACGTATTTAATCAATTTTATTGGCCCTCGGTCCCATCTAGTTTGGACACACCTGCACTATACGATTGAACTCTAGTTAACAAGCGTTTATAATGCGGACTTCCAATAGTAGAGGATCCCGATATAAGGCGACCTTCACCGAAATGTTTATTTGATGAAACATATTTTATATTCAATTTAATATGTCAATAAATATATTACAAATGGGTTGCATCATAAATTTTAGTCCAGGATATGATTAATCAACAATTAAAAATAGATTTTTTTTCAAAAATTTCATCTGTTTGATTATTAGATAAACTCCACACCAATCGAAAGTACGGAGCCCATAGAATATGAAAACGTTAGGTTGCCTATTCTTTTCCAGTCACAACTCTCGGGTTGCCAGGGATAAACAGGTACATCGATAGTAGCATTTTGCGCCGGTCTGATAATTTAATCAAATTTAAATGAAAACAAAGAATATTTAATTACGAACAAGGTAGTATAGGGTTGCCTCCGAAAAATCAGTCCTAAATTAGGGTTGTCAATTTTTAAAGTTTAATGTTTCTGCGATTGAAAATGTGCGACTGAGAGGTCCCAAGCAAAAATAATTAAAAAAAACCTCTGTTTATTGTTCAAAATTATAAAAACATATATATTTTTTTAAATTATTCAGCTTCTGAGTCATCGGACATAAAACTGGGATCTTCGACATCTGCATCTTCTGTTTCGGTTCTTTCGACAATATCAGCTATTCTTAAAGGTGTGATCCCCAAGGAACCCTCGTGGTTTCAAGTTTGATGCATATTGGATCTGTTGCATTCGGCCACATCGAATTTACGAAAATAGTTCAAGAATTTACAGCTCGTATACATGGAATTAAGAATTAACTAATGTGAATGATGCAAGATATCGTATTTTCATGAAAAATTACTCTACTAAAGAAGACAGTGACCAGTTTCTAAAAATAATCAAAGGCTTTGAATGAAACTAATATTTTTCGGATGTACTTACGCGCATATTATTTTTATCAAAAACATCATACTCCCGACGTTTCGGTTACTTTACAGTAACAGTGATGGGGGATCACACCTTTAAGAATAGCTGATATTGTCGAAAGAACCGAAACAGAAGATGCAGATGTCGAAGATCCCAGTTTTATGTCCGATGACTCAGAAGCTGAATAATTTAAAAAAATATATATGTTTTTATAATTTTGAACAATAAACAGAGGTTTTTTTTAATTATTTTTGCTTGGGACCTCTCAGTCGCACATTTTCAATCGCAGAAACATTAAACTTTAAAAATTGACAACCCTAATTTAGGACTGATTTTTCGGAGGCAACCCTATACTACCTTGTTCGTAATTAAATATTCTTTGTTTTCATTTAAATTTGATTAAATTATCAGACCGGCGCAAAATGCTACTATCGATGTACCTGTTTATCCCTGGCAACCCGAGAGTTGTGACTGGAAAAGAATAGGCAACCTAACGTTTTCATATTCTATGGGCTCCGTACTTTCGATTGGTGTGGAGTTTATCTAATAATCAAACAGATGAAATTTTTGAAAAAAAATCTATTTTTAATTGTTGATTAATCATATCCTGGACTAAAATTTATGATGCAACCCATTTGTAATATATTTATTGACATATTAAATTGAATATAAAATATGTTTCATCAAATAAACATTTCGGTGAAGGTCGTCTTATATCGGGATCTTAGACTACAAGGTAAATTCATAAATTCCAAATAATACGGTCAACCACAACAAATATGACCCATTAGCGGAATGCGATTCTTATCGTCGCTTATGAAATCGAGCAACCCATCGGAAAACTAACATTTCAAACTTAATTAGGTATGTTAAGTTAGTTGATTATCGTTTACCTAGTTCTAAAATTTTTCAAGTTTCTATGCAATTATCTTGTTTCAATAGTAAGAAAACAAGGAAGTTTTGAAAGAAGAATTAAAAAGTAAAGCGGCTCTCATTCTCACAAAGCTGTTTCGGACCAGGAAAAAAGGATTATTTTCATATGCATTAATAATGAAGGCATGTATAAAGTGAAAAACAAGTCAGATGACAACAGTGTATTGTACATTTCAGCCGTTATAATTGAACGTCTTCTGCATTCGTTTTCACAAAGGAAAAAAACATTTATTTAAAACTAAATTTATTTATTTAAAAATGTTGTGTACAAATATCCTAGTAGCCGGTGTACGGTGACACTAACTCTTTCAAGTGTCGTCTCAAACATAGCTTCCACAGCACACTTCGTGCTTTACTATTAATATTAATACAAGCTTCACGATATTCAGCTTAAAATGATTATAACTAGTATACAGTCTTAGAGACAGTTAAACGGCTCGTCCGGTGAGGGACGCACTCCCGTAACAGTATGGACCAACCTAACAACATGTGGTGTGAGCGGGACAGGGATAGGGATAGCGGGCGTGGTCAGGTCTGGTGGTGGGGGGGAGCGTGTGTGTATATAAGTGTGTATCCGTGCGTCACGCGTGTCACTGTTGCTTGCACTCCCCGGGCTTGTCGTGCCCGTCGCCGGGGTCCCGTCCGGCGCGGCGTCCCCTGCGTCGCGGCGCGGGCTCCTCGTCGCTTTCCTCGGACGAACATTCCTCCTCCTCCTGATCATACAAGCTTAGTCTCAATTCCTCGTCCCTTCCCTACTCGCTACACCTCTCCCCAGCCATCCGTCGCATGCGGGTCCAAAATAAAACACACATTGAAAAGCTTACAATTTGTTTAATGTCATCGGTTGGACGCGGTGCTAGTACGAAGCTCGCCCGACAACCGCCCCCGGAAGCCGGTTATTATTATTATATGCTCGCGATATAATATAGTTATATAAATAAAAATATAAATCTACTCTCTCCGACCAGCGAACGATCCGTTACAGTCATAGATAACTCAATGAGGAACATCACATTAAGCGATGTTCCGTCGATGATACAATTCGATTTGGCACTAATAGAGATTCGAGAGCACCGAACGCGGTTCGTCGCCGACTCTCCGCCTAGTGGAATGACATACTTACAATTTCATTAAATAGGAAACATCGGTAGCCTTAACAGGTTAATAATATCACATGAAATTTAATAGTACACAGACGAATACGTAAAAACCGTAAACAAAATACACACTATTACAATAATATTAATGTATAATAAATAAAAACGAGAATTGTATAACTAAACTAGAAATGCAATAATAGTATCGTAATAAAAACATGTTAACATGCATTACAATTATAAAGGCACAATTACACTTCTCGCTTCCCATAGACAAAAAAAAATAAACATGGCTCTCACAGAGCCGTATATAAAAAGTGGCCTCTAAAACATATTTATCTACTGGAAAGATAAACCATGCATAGAGTGGGCCGAGCGCGAGAAGTACATTAACTAAGTCTAGCTCAATACTAACAATTTATAAAATGACTATCCAAAATATAAAAGCACTGGATCGCTAACAGGAGCCAGTTAGCCAAGTTAGCTCCCCGATACTGCGCTAGAGTATTCTTGTCATCGAGATATTTGGTAAGAGATATGAGAGGGATATGATAAGACACGTTAGGATCGAAACTATGTGGAGGTCGCCGGCTCAATCAATCCTCGGCATCGGAAACCTCTTCGGTGCCGGAGTCGTCGTCTGAATACGAATCCTCCTGAAACACAATACACTTTTGGTGGCAACCAGACGTAAATACCCGACTGGTCGGATTGGTCGTACTGGTCGGACTGGACGAGCGCCGCGACCCCGGGCCTAGGGCGAGCGGTACCTGCGTCTGATTGTCGTCTACTTGACTAAAAAGCCGACCACTAACTAACATGCGAACAAGCGCGTTCGACCAGATGGCTGAAGATTACTTATATTGCATGCTTATAAGCCAAACTTAAAGTAAAAACTATTCGCGTCTATATTATTGAAGCAACTTTTTACTCAATAATATATACTCGTATGTATAAAGATTTACGGTGCGAGAATTTAATAATCTGAAAACGCTGGATGTGCAAATTTAAAATAGAGTTTTTAATAAGGTCATAACGACTATCAAATCTAAAGTTTATAATACAATAACATACATAAGTATGTGTTATATTATTAATGTTTTCATACTCCCAGCGTTCTCTATATATGTTCCACATACCTCTTCCTCATAATCATCTTCGTCATCTTCGTCCAAGCCCTCGCCAGTATATAACAGCACGGCCCGGGACACAACTCGCTCGCGAATGTAATGACCGACCTCGAAATCCGCCGTTAAAAGAGCCTGGAGTATGAACATATAGAAGTTATTTACAACAACCAACAAATATAAGGCGTGAGACATAAAGTCACTATAATGAGATTTAAGATTTTCGCAAGTTTTATTCGTTTAAATGAAACTAATATTTTTGTGATCATACTACGTGACTTAATTACTAACATCTCGTCTGCTCATAATCACGGTTGCTGTAGAGTAACCGAAACGTAGGAAATATGTCGTTTTTTACAAAAAGAAAGTCGCGTAGAATATCCGAAAAATATGAGTTTCATTCATATACTATATACTTACCACACCTCAGTAAAGTGGAAAAAGTTTAGTAATATAATTATTTGTATATGAATCAGCAATATTTGATTATTGAGAAGCGAATAACCTATATATGTAAGCTATACAAAATCCTACTAATATTATAATTGCAAAAGTTTGTTAGTGTGTGTATGTTTGTTACTTCACGCTCAAACGGCTGAAGCGATTTTGATAAAATTTTGTATATAGGAAGCTGACGTCCAGGAATAACATATAGGCTACTTTACATCCCGGAAATCCACGGGTAAGACCGCGGGGAACAGCTAGTTTATAAATAAATCCAATTTACCTGTGTATCGGAGGCTAGGGTGGAGTTAGGATCTTCGGGCATGACGGGCGGAGCAAAGAAATTGAAGAATGAATCGGCCTGAACAGACTTCGTAACTGTACGCACCGAGCCGCGAGACTTGTGTTTTTGCTTCTTTTTGATCGTCTTAACGGTTACATTTTTACCCTTGTTCCAGTTAATCTTGCAACCCTGTAGATTATAAAAAAATATTTAGTCTTTAAATTCATAGATGATGGGAATATGCAATTTTATATTGCAATAATCCAAACTAATATTATAAATGCGAAAGCAACTCTGTCTGTCTGTTAAGCTTTGACGACTAAACCACTAAACTGATTTTAATGAAATTTGGTATGGATTGAGTTGACCTTGAGAAAGAAGTTTTTATCCAAGACTTTTGAAAGGTTCTCTTGGAAACGCGATATAACCGAACTCGACGCGGGCGAAGCTGCGGGCGGAAAGCTAGTTAAATATATATGCATTAAATTAGTATAGAGTACAAAATGCATATGATACAAACCTTGCACGAGTAAATCTCGGGTCCTTCAAATTCTAATGGATTGTCCTCCTCGGGTTTGCATTTCATATAATACTCTTTTGTTAGCACCGTGTCTGAGAAGTATTCGTTGGGAGCAAAGTGGAACTCTAGCGTAAACCCAATGGGATCATTATGCATTTGCACTGGAAAATAAATACAAATAAATTAATATGCTACTTATTATACACCAATTAACATATAGCTTTAATTAAAGTTTAAACTTACCCTTAATATCTTGTAAGCATTTAATAATAGGTTCATCATGTTCTTGCATCATTTCACACAACATGGACACATTCTTGAAGATTGTGTACCAAAAGTCTGGTATTCCTTTAACATTGGGGTCCATTGGTGGCCTGGAATGGAAATTGGCTATGAAAATCCGAGTTAACATCATCTTAATATGAAATTTCTTAATTAAAGCCTCAGTTGGTGATGCATGTTAAACAAATCAATCATGATTCTCAGATAATGGTGTAGTGTGTCATCATATAAACAAGTTTGATTAAAATCCTAACTTGTAGGTCAAAAGCTCATTAGAGCAAAATTTGTCATATCGTCGGGGATAGTGCAAATCAGAGTAACTAGCATTGGATAATTCCGCATATTTACATTGGAAGCAGATAAACAGAAGAAAGCTGAAATATTAATATATTAACGACTTTGAAGGAAATTTTATCACAATTAACAATTATATAGTGTTTAATTTGTTACTAATTATGATAAAATCCCCTTAAAAGTCGTTAATATAGAAAATATTTAAGCTTAAACTTTCTTCTGGTAATCTGCTTCCAATGTAGATACGTGGAATTATCCAATGCTAATCACGCGGTTTTTCACTATCCCGAAGATGTTTTGTTATGTTTTATACTAACTGTGCGGGTGTGTCTTCGTGTTTGTCCTCTCCCTCAGCGATGGCAGCCTTCTCCACAGCCTTAGCTAATTCCTCTTCCTCAGAATCATCACGCCAGGGGTTCAAGCATTCATTGTCTGTTGGTTCATATGAACCATTTACAATTTGAGCTCGCTGTGGAAAATTATGTTAGATGAGTTATGTTCAAAGTATGTAATTGTATAGGCATTAGAAACCAGGAAAGATTGAGAAAGAGTTTTCAAACAATACTAAGATTCATTTAATCATATAAAAGGAAGTTTTTTGTGCTTATTTTTACCATAAAAACATTGCAAACAATAATATTAAATGACATGTAATCAAGTTTACATTAACCCTTTCCACTCAAAGGCTGTTTTTGTTTTTATTCCAACAGCTCCATGCTAAAGTTACGTTTTTTTTACTGTTAGTGTTTTTTGTAAAAACGGATTTTTCTTATTTAATAAACTTTATTTTATGAGTAATTATATGATACTATATTAAAGTCCCAAATTTTATTCTTTATAATCTGGACAGTGAAGCTAGTGGAACAAAATCAGTGTCGTTTAACACCCAAAATTTGTGTGGAAAGTATTAGGGAAGTGATTATTTTAAAACTACATGTATATACACTACCAACCTTTTCAAACAGCGGCTTATACATTTTCTCATACTTGCACTCAAGAGCATGTACTTCAGAGTAGAATTTTGCTTCAATATCAACAAACTCCTTCTGCAAGGACCTCAAAGCTCTTATTCTCCGACGGACATTGGGTGGCAGAGAGGCGATCGCTTCAGCATGAAGACGATTTGTTATAGCGGCTAGCATTTCATTGCGGGTGATACGACTATAAAACAAATGGAAATATTGTCAGAATAATTTCCATCAAACATAATGTGGGTTATTTAACTTCTAAGAGACTTCCCATGTCTATTAAATAACAGAGGCTGAGTCAAAACATGTGTTAATTTATCGCACGGCCCCATTTCGTCACGAATTCCAGAATTTAACTAGTGTATTTTAGTCACATGATTACATTAGCATGCCGATACGCATCACTTCGGGTTATCCGTGATTTTGAGTTACCGGAGATCAAAAATAGCATATCGATAAATATTTACTACAAAGGTATGTTCATTAAATCTCAATCTTGTTTAAAATTACGATTTTCCATATATACTGAATACTATTTATATATACCTACAAATTTTAACTATTTTTCATACTATCGAAATCTGATAAAATGTTCTTTATTATCGTAAATTATACTTCCTACATAGTTAAGCAGATTCATATTCGCTCGTACATACTTGTATCGCATGTTATAAGTCACGCAAAACTTTAAATTCCTAGAGATCAGTGGTTGCTATAGCAATGATTACGGACAAAGCAAGACGTTTCAGCGTGTATTAGCACAAGTAGAGCGTGGAGTGACTCACTAGTTCAATGAACCGTAATCTCGACCAATCATGTCTTATGTTTGAAAATTTAACGATTTATATAGAGCAAAAAAACCACGAGGCAGATAAAAACTACGTCTAGAAATGTTTGATAAAAAATATATAACAGTTTTTCAGTTGAATCTTTTATATAAAGGAGTTTATTAATAAACATGGTTATTGTAAGAACTTTTAAACGACAATGCTTATGTTGCGTTTTAGAAATACCAATGTCAAGGCCGTGTTACTCGCTTTTTATAAATATTATTACGTGCATATAAAATCGCGCGATCAAAGAATGCTTTTACTATTTTTTATTAATATAATTCTTTAATTTTTATAAGTTAAAGGTGATAGCAACAAGTCCAAATATATTAACAACTAAAATAACAATAAAATTGGTAACATTAAATATAACTTAATTCTTAGGTAGCATAAAAAATTCCAGACATTTAACATCGTGTTATTTTATGACTCATAAGGAACAATTATTTTTAGTTGAAGCACATGGTCTCAACAGGATTTTAATATAATGTTCTATTGAACATTAATAACAGAAATATTAGAGGTCAGACAGAGTATAAAGACGTTGAAATTTAAATGATCCTTTGTAATACTATTGTACGAGATCAGAGAAACATTGAGAAGGCATCAGAACACGTGTTTTTCAACCTTGATCAACTATCAGATTAACGTAATATCTTTCATACAAGGATTAATGCAATCAATTAAATTTACCTGCTCATTAAATGCGCTGCTAATTCACCTCCGCCGACAATTTCGTCTTCCTCTCCTGACTCCACCTCAGAGGTGGCATCACCGGTTCTCTCAACAGTACCCATTATTTAGTTTCCAACTAAAACAAATGCAGAAATAATTGGGGTTAGAACAGTATTCAAGCGGTCTTCGCGCCACGTTGCTCTTGCCGGTAAAAAAAACCGGAACGTTACTTCGACTCGCAATTAACCAAGAACAAGAAAAATTAATGAAAATGGTCAAGGAAAATTAAGGATTATTGACGTACTTGCAGTTTTCTTTTATAAAACATAATGCGCAGTTTGCAAAACCATTCAGTATGCCGACCACATGGTCACTTTAACTATTGCACTAACTTCTAACCCACATTCCTCGATACTATTAAGAAAATTAAGTAACGCGGTTTTACACTACACCGATTAAAGCATTAATATTAAATGTTACGGACTCTAAACTTACCTTCTGCGACAAGACTTGTGTGAAAAAGAAAGATGGCGGCGCAATATTAGTCGGGAGTGAGCGACCAACGAATGAAATGAATGCGAACTGGCAGCACAGCACTTAAATTACCTACGTTTCCGGAATCAATATTGCCACTATTTTAAAAAAGGTGGAATTTAAATTAAAATTATCCCAAATATTAAGTTTTTCAGTAATCTGCTCTAAAATAAGAAAAGGAAATTTTATTAATCATAAATATGTACCAATCTAATTTTTATCAGTTATACATATAAATTACATGTTTATACATTTGTTTTTAGAAATAACATTTTTATTAATGTATCATATTTTGAAAATTTTTAAGTTTTTAGTTGGAAGTTTCCAAAAATTATACTTTTGAATGTGACTTACGTAATTAAATCTAGTAGGATCTTCATTTTGCAGTTTGCCCAAAAAGTTTTTTCACATTTTTAAATACATCCTTCTTTCTTATTATTATTTCTTATTTTAGTAATTATAACTTGGTATATTTCCATTCTTATACGATTGCTAACTTTAATTGCCACAATTGAATGACTGAATTTTTAAAAACTTTAGAATGTTCAGTTTGATACAATTTATCCATTAATGTTATTATAATGATTATGAAAATAATTGTTACGAGGTTGTATATATTTTTGCTTCGATTTTAGAACTGGGGATGTTTCATATAAAAATAATAAATTATAGGTACAAAAATTAAAGCAAAAACTATAAATAAACTAGAATATTGTAATAGTTGACAAGAATTAGAAACTGTGTTTCACAACTTGAAATAATTTTATGAAACAAAAAATATTAATATGTGAAATCTTAAATAACTTTATAGCAACGATTAATTATTCTTAAATTCATAAATATCTGCTACTGTATAGTTAAAGTCAACTTGAAAATAACTGATACTAAAGATATAATGTTAAAAAGTTAATAATAGGTGTTTCCAAAGATTTTCTTAATCATAAGCAGGTTTTAAAATATTTATTTATATCGCCTACTAGTACTACAAGTACTGCTTGTAAAAATAGTTATATTAAAGTCTTTTTGCAAACATCCTACCTTATCTGTTGTATCTACTACCTAGTTTAATTTGATCTGTTAACTTGACAATACTCTGATTCTGAATAGTTTTGGTTTTGACATAAGAATAATATTTGTTAATGTTGTTAAGTGATGAAAAATGTTTTATAATATTACTAAAATTACTAGAGATATATTAGTTATGTGCTTGTGAATTACGTATCGTATTTAATTATTGACAAAATAATCAATATGCCTCCAACCGTACAAACTAACGAGCCAGAAAGGGAAAAGCGTCCTCAAAGAACTGGAGAGAGAAGGTTAGGAACGGGTTTTTTATTTTAATAAAAGCTAATATAATCATAAATAATATATCTATACATGATTTCAGATCGGAGCTCGTTACTCGGGTTAAATACTGCAACACCCTACCGGATATACCATTCGATTTAAAATTTCTTACGTATCCATTTTCTTCTACTCGTTTTATTCAATACAATCCGACGTCATTGGAAAAAAATTATCGTTATGAAGTACTAACAGAACACGATCTGGGTGTCCATATTGATTTGATAAATCGCGACATATACCAGGGAGATGGTAATGCACAATTAGATCCAGCGGATGAAAAGCTTTTAGAAGATGACGTTCTTACGCCTCAAGACTCAAAGCGGTCCCGACATCATGCCAAAAGCGTATCCTGGTTGCGACGCTCGGAGTACATTTCAACGGAACAAACCAGATTTCAACCTCAGTCTATGGAAAAGGTACTAATTTCTTAACAAAAATAATGTAACATATGTCTAAAAGTCAATTAAATACATTTTCTTTATAGGTGGAAGCGAAAGTTGGTTACAATGTCAAGAAAATATTCAGCGAAGAAACATTATATATGGACAGGGATAGCCAAATTAAAGCTATTGAAAAGACATTTGAGGATAATAAAAAGACGATCGAGAAGCACTATAGCAAGCCTGGCGTCACTCCGGTTGAGATTATGCCTGTGTTCCCTGACTTTGAAATGTGGAAGTATCCATGTGCTCAAGTTATTTTCGACTCAGATCCTGCACCGGCAGACAAAAATATTGCCGGACAGATTGAAGCTATGTCACAAGCTATGATTAGGTAAATATGGTTACGTTTAGAAGTAAGATTAAGTATATTTTGTGTGAACTATCATTGCTGTAATTTAATATAATTGTATAGAATTTATTATCTCTATATATCTCTTTCTTGTTTATTTCACTAAATTAGAAAAAATCATAAAAAGAAAGGTTAATATTGTGTTCCATTAGTTTTGCTATAAACTATCATTTATTCCTGAGTTATTGGATTTATTCAATGTGATGTGTGAATTGAACTGAGCTATATAAAGAGGGATTTCAACCTTTTCTATGTGAGAAGTGGCCTTTGCTCAGCTGTGGGCTGTGATAGGCTGATGATTTGTTTGAAAAAAGTCATGGCTAAACATTTATTTACTTCAATAATGCTGAGAATCAAGCTATAATGATTTGACTAATGTCACTTATTAAATTATTCACATCTTCAACTATCATAGATATTATCATGGATAAAATAAGATGGTAGTAATGCCAAATAACCAACTTCACCAATAACACAATGTTGAAATGATAAAAGTTTTTATATGAACTAAAGTCAATGTTATTTTGCCCAATTTTCAGTATAAATGTAACAAATTTTGCAACTCTTTATGCAGTATTTACGAATTAACATCCAAGACCTATTATGATTTTGTATAATTATTGCAGAATTAATAATTAATTTTGTGTATACCATGCGACATATACTTTAACCTAACAAGTTGTTGTTCCATAATGACTTTTATGTTTAAAATATTAAGTATTATATTATAATATATGTTTAAATTTGTTTGTAGGGGTGTCATGGATGAGAGTGGTGAACAATTTGTTGCATACTGTCTGCCAACAGAGGACACTATTCAGAAGAGACGTCGGGACATCACTGAGGGAATTCCCTACATGGATGGTGACACTTATGAATATAAAATGGCCAGAGAATATAATTGGAATGTTAAGAGTAAAGCTTCCAAAGGTTATGAAGAAAACTATTTCTTGGTATGACAACATTTTTTTTATATATTTGAAGGTAGCCCTAGTAAGTTCTTTTCAAATTTAGTTAGGTAGAGAGAGGAGTTTGTACAGTGGAGGTGAGCGTTTAACGCGCGTTAGATAGGGGCCCCTTAAACCTACACCTGGGTCACAATTCCCAGGCATGTGAAGCTCCTCTCTCTGCAACGATTTACCCGGCACCCGCATTGATTAATCCATTGAATGTTAAAAAGTTTTGTCTCTGTTTAATCACCCTTATATATATGCTTTTTACTAAACTTTCTATATATACAATATATAGATACTTTGTCTTCAATATACAATCTATCTTATTTTACAGCTAAACATATCAAAACCTTACTTAACAGTTGTTTAATTTAATTTTAACAGTTGTTTAATATTTAATTATTATATTTCAGGTGGTCCGTAATCATTGTATATATTACAATGAGCTTGAAACTCGTGTCCGTCTGTCCAAGCGTCGCGCGAGGGCGGGTGCAGCGGCCCAGGCATTAACTAGACTGGTTGTGACACACAGACCGTTGAATGCAGCTGAACATAGAATACTAAGACTCAGAGAGAAACAACTGGAACCTGTACAGGTGAAGTTATTTATATATATGTATAATTTTCCTTTCTGAGAGTATTTAGACATTACTGACATACGGTGAAGGAAAACATCGTGAGGAAACCTGGACTTATAGTTTCACAATTATAAGTTTGAAATCATGATCCCATGGTGAGCAAGCGTGGTGATTAATGCTCAAATCTTCTCCATGTGAGAAAGAGGCTTTTGCTCAGCAGTGGGCTCTGATAGGCTGATGACATGACATGTATAATTTAAATGTAATGAATGTTTGTATACATGTAAATGTTATATACATTATACAGTAAACAAATATGTGTATATGTTATGGTTGAAATTATATAAATTTTTACTGGTTTAATTCAACTATATATTTAGAGAGGTATTATTGAAACTAAATGTATGGGTGGCTTAAGTAGCTTTTGTAAATAATTACAAATTAATCAAAAACTAATTTATGTATCCCATATGTTTGTTGGTATTATTTTTTTGTTGTATTTACTATTTTAGGAAAGAAATTAATTGTTTAGATTCAACATCTCTCCATCAAACATTTTGTTAAAAACGATTCTTGAGTAATCCTATTTTTTCATACTGTTTTTTATCTGAAGTATGCCGATTCTCACATAGAGATAAACATACATTATGTCATACTTTCATACAATTTTTCAGTCAGTTAATTAGACTATTTCCTTTTACATACATTATGTCATATTATTACCATACAATACTTTCAAGGTCAGTTAATTAGACTATTTCTTTTTACATACATTATGTCATATTAGTACCATACATTTTTCAAGGTCAGTTGATTAGATTATTTCTTGTTACAGGACGAAGATGAAGAAGAAGAAGACGAGGAAGAGGAAGAAGATAAACAGGAACAGGCTGAGGCAAGAAGGTATTGATATTCATACAAAAAATTACATACTAAGTTTTTTAGGTGATAGAATCTAGCTGTGGTCAGTTATTACACCTCGAACATGTGCTGGTTCGACTGGGGAAGTACCACCCTCTCACAGAAGATAAGAAGTAGTCTTTAATGGCGGTTTTTCGGCCGATGACTGAGAGAGCCGGTCGTCTTTATCTATTTAGATTTTTTGTTTAACAAACAAGGTTGACAATGTTACGGCAACAAAGATGTTGCGGATGTCCATAGGCGACGGAAACTATCTTCTATCAAGTAGACCGTCAGCTCGTTTGCCACCTTTAACATAAAAAAAAGAAATTGTCTTATAAGTATACATATTATGTACTGCACATTCTTTTAAATATAGGTGAGAGTGGTTGTTGCTTTGTATATGTAACTCGTGAACTTACAAAAATAGGCTCAAGTTATGTTAAGCTTTATATATATAAAAGAAAAGTTGTGTTTGTTAAGGTCTATAACTCAATAACAGGATACGGTTGGAAATTGGCGGGGAGATAGCTTAAAACCAGGAGACGGACATAGGATATTTAATTCTGTTCGATGAAAGCAGAAAAAAATATTAATAACCTCCTATATCTGATTTTTTTATGGTCTCTAGGGCGGAATAGAGTTCGCCCGGTCAGCCATAAATATATTACCAACTAGCTTTCCGCCCGCAGCTTCGACCGCATGGAGTTCGGTTATATCGCGTGTCCAAGAGAACCTTTCAAAAGTCTGGGATAAAAACTATCCTATGTTCTTTGTCAAGGTCAACTCTATCTCTGTACCAAATTTCATTAAAATCAGTTCAGTGGTTTAGACTTGAAACTTTAACAGACAGACAGAGTTACTTTCGCATTTATAATATTAGTAGGGATTACTAATTCATGCGGACGAATTCAAAGACAAAAGCTAGTATAAAATAGATAGATAAATTACAAACATCAACATTTATTTACAGATCGCGTTCCAGGTCAAAATCTGGTTCGAAATCTCCCCAAGGTTCAGAGAAGTCGAAGGCCTCCAGGTCTAGATCTCGCTCCAGGTCTAAATCCAGGTCCAAATCCAGGTCAAGGTCAGCGTCGGGATCCCCAGCTCGTTCGAAGTCCAGGTCTCGTTCCCGCAGCCAGTCTGGCTCGAGGAAGTCCAGGTCTAGGTCTGCATCAGCCCAGTCTGGATCAGCCAGGTACTAAATATATTCAGATATTAGGGCGGGTACAGACGAGTGTAATGTTATGTGTAAATTGTAACGCAACGTGTAATGTAACGCGAATTCTTTGTGTGAACGCCTTAGCATTACATGTAATGTTCGCCCCGGCGCTTGCGCGGATACATCGGCTGTCGGTTTGTGTCGCGAACACAAAGGGACTTGCAGTATTCGTTTGGTCGCCATTCGTGAAGGTTGTGTCATGTGGACGGTAAAATATGAAACGACGAACAAGCCCTTGCTCATAAGTTTGTACGAACTCCAGACGGTAATTTTTGATACGAAAAATCCAAACTTTTTGGTGCAATCATTGTTAACAAATTATCAAAATCAGTAGGCGACATTCGGATATTTGTATTTGGCCGCTTTTTTGCTGAGATTTAAGTTCATAAAGTAAAGAAGATCTTCTCTTATTTAACTTCGTTTTCCACCATCGACGTACTGAACATTTTTTCCGGTTTTCAGTAATAGAAACATAGAAATAAAAACAGCTCCGGTTTGAGATTCGCGTTGAGTTCGTATACCGTTACATTACACGATACATTACATTACACTCGTCTGGAACCTCCTTTATATGTATATGTATGGATTAACTTCAATTAAGCTTAAAAATTATTATGATTGAATGAATGACTGTTGTTTTATGAATTCCGTATTCTAATATGTGTAGAAATAAATTTTGTTTTTGGTTAAATATCTTATCGAATATTGTTATAAGATTGTTTAATATTTACTTAAGATACCTTATTTTACTTATTACATGAGATAATTTCAAAGTATTTCTAATTTCTATTCAATACCTCTTTGAAAATAAGTTTGTCTTGGTTATTATATTACTTGTTTTCTATTTGGTTAGTGCATGACGAGTTACAAAAACTGTGGCGATTCTAAAAAAAGTTGCAGGAGAGGTATAAGTTAGTCGAATTTAGAAAGAGACAGCTATATTTATATGTATATCAAGAGCATACTTTTTGTCTCTTTCTCTCACAATCATATATTATTAATTCCAGGTCGGGGTCGGCTCGTTCCCGTTCTGGTTCCAGGGCTTCGTCTCGCGCCAGTTCCAAGAGTAAGGCGTCCAGCAGACGGTCCAGGTCTAGGTCTAGGCGGAGCTCGAAGGGCAGTGATAAGGTATTATGACGTCACAATTACAAATCTTAGCGTTTTTTTTTTCGGGGAGAAGTTGGCCCTAGGAATACCCACTAAAACTCCCCGACTTCCCTTCCTGCCCATATTAGGGGGGCGATTTAGGACCTGCTAGAGCAAATCACCAATTCACCCCCGGACAAATGTCACCTACTTTATTATTTGAAATATACTGTATATTTCACATGTATGAGTATTTTTTCAATTAATATATCTATGTTACAACTTACAGTGATACATATAAAAATTATATAAGTACATTGCATTTAAAAATATTTTTGGAGTCTATAAAAAGCTGATATAAATGACACTAATATTATCGAATGACTATTAATATTTTATTATGAAATGTAGTTCACATATCGTCTGCCCGTGAACACGGTTGCAAATTGAGAGCTGATAGTAGTTAATTCATTATATCAATTATTATCAACCACCACTCTCATACACATATATATATCAGGCTTCCAAGCAGTCGTCGCGCGCGTCGTCCCGCGCGTCGTCGGTCGTGTCGCGGTCGTCTCGCAAGTCGTCCCGTGCCTCGTCCGCGTCGAAGTCGTCTCGTAAGTCATCTCGAGCCAGTTCCCGCGCCAGGTCCAGCGGATCACGTTCTAGGAGCAGGTCTGCCAGCGGTTCAAGACAGGTACGTATAGTAATTCAAATATGTCCAAGTTAAAAATTGCTATACAGATTTTGATGCGATTTATAGTACAAATTAGTTAGTATATGATGAGATAAAATAATTATTACTGTTGCATGTAGAGAAAATGTTTTGTAATTCAGAAAAAAGTATAACTCTAACTGTTAATTTTAAACCAACCCAGTATGTATAGATATAGATAGAACTTTTTTGCCAACTTAACATAATAAATGGTGTAATTACAGTATATAAGAGAAATGTTAGTGTTACATACGTTTTATTTAGTCATAGCGTACTATGAATTTTTATATAAGTTATATTACAATATAGAAATTATATTACAATATATATGTTGTTAAATTTCCAGGGTTCTAGAAGCGGTTCGGCATCAAGCGCTTCATCACGTCATTCAGGTTCTGATTAAGATTACATTGTGACGTCATTAAACCATATACATATGATAAAATAATCACTGTCTTATTATTTTAATTAAGTTTTTATAATCTCTCCCATATGTTTAATGGAATATATTCTATATCAGGGGTGGCTAACTTGATTAGATCTAAGATCTACTGTTTACTAACGAAACCCTGTGCGATCTACTAAGTACATACTTCTTGAAATGAAACTGCATAGTTTAGTACACAATCATATATTTTTTATTAGCCAGTCTTAGTAGTTTCTTTTCATATCACATGTGAGATCATTTTCTTAAATTTACTTAACATTATATGGGTCCTATATATTATTGTGAGCATTGCGCCTGAACATTTTCCATTAGTTTAGCACAGTAGTCCCCAAACTTATTTTTCTCGTGGACCACTTTCAAAATTTTACTGGTTTCGGTGGACCCCCTGCTGCTACATTTCTACCACATTCTTAAAGTCGCCAAAAAATAAAAATTGTGTCATTTCTGAGTTCTGTCTCTATATTCCGATAGGTAAAATAAAATTTTAGAAATTTTGGAAACAAATGAATGAGTGTTTGCCTTTGGCATCAAGTATTTATAGTGGTGATCAAGTTCATGTCTGAACAAGCATTGAGCATTGTCGGGCGAATAGCGCTTTGCAAGTCTGTACACGAAATTGTACGTAATATCGAATAAACAAGTTTGGACAAGTAACAGTCGCTTGCCTTATTAAAATATTATCTGCTTAGTTAGGTACTTAAAACAATGTAGGTAGGCCCTTATAAAAACTCTGCTTACATTTTTGCTTATTACTATCAAAAGCAGATAAATTTTCGTGGACCCCCATTTTTTGTTCACGCCTACGTAAGGGATAAGGGTCACTGAGGCTCCGAACATAGAAAAGATGGCAAGCAGCTATCTGTCCATTCGCTGTTTTCGATCGCTTTCTATCGCTGTTTTTTGTAATGTTACAAACTGGAATTTAATGGGAGTTTAAGTACTGAATGTGCCATGCGGCCTCCATCGAGCACCGTCGCCGCAATCCCAGAGGAAGCTACGGCAACAGCTATTCCTTTGTCTTTTCGGATTTGGGCTAAAAGTAAATTTATTGAATAGCTTTCCTAGTGCCTCCTGGTGCATCTAAAAAAAACAATTCACCCTCACCATTATCGATTCTTTGCACAACAATATCATAAACAAATTTTTGTTCCGTGTTCAATCGAGGAACAGACTCTGATATTTGTTGCTGTAAAGAAGAGACATTGTAGTCCAGTTCTCTTATTAAATCACTATTGACTTCTCCGATTCCTTGTGGCCGGTTCATTCCAAAATCTGATAATGTCTTCCCAGATATAGCCATCACTTGGTCTTGAATCTTAGTTAGCACCTCGTTATAAACTAAATCATAATATGTGACATTGGGATTATTTTGTTGTAGTCTGTTCAAAATATAGTCAGACATATCATTTTGGGACTTTTCCAATAATATCTGAGGATTTGAGAGACCACACGTCGCTATGAGAATGGCAAAAGATGTCTCACCTTAGCTGCTGATCTACATTGTCGAGCCTCTTCTAGTGTCGAGTCCCCAATGATTATTTATCATTCTCTAACTTTCATTTTTATCGTTAATAAGTTAATCAACTGTTAGTAAATCCACTGTTAATAAATTAATCAATTGTTAATAAATTAATCAACTGTTAATAAATTAATCCTCTGTTAATAAATTAAACAACTGTTAATAAATTAATCAACTGTTAATAAATTAATCCACTGTTAATAAATTAATCAATTGTTAATAAATTACTTCTCTGTTAATAAATTAATCAACTGTTAGTTAATCCACTGTTAATAAATTAATCAACTGTTAATAAATAATTCCTCTGTTAATAAATTAATCAACTGTTAATAAATTAATCAACTGTTAATAAATGAATCCTCTGTTAATAAATTAATCAACTGTTAATAAATTAATCAACTGTTAATAAATTAATCAACTGTTAATAAATTAATCAACTGTTAGTAAATCCACTGTTAATAAATTAATCAACTGTTAGTAAATCCACTGTTAATAAATTAATCAACTGTTAGTAAATTAATCAACTGTTAGTAAATCCACTGTTAATAAATTAATCAACTGTTAATAAATTAATCAACTGTTAGTAAATCCACTGTTAATAAATTAATCAACTGTTAGTAAATCCATTGTTAATAAATTAATCAACTGTTAGTAAATCCACTGTTAATAAATTAATCAACTGTTAATAAATTAATCAACTGTTAATCAATTAATCAACTGTTAATAAATTAATCCTCTGTTAATAAATTAATTAACTGTTACTAAATTAATCAACTGTTAGTAAATCCACTGTTAATAAATTAATCAACTGTTAGTAAATTAATCAACTGTAGGTAAATCCACTGTTAATAAATTAATCAACTGTTAGAAAATTAATCAACTGTTAGTAAATCCACTGTTAATAAATTAATCAACTGTTAGTAAATCCACTGTTAATAAATTAATCAACTGTTAGTAAATCCATTGTTAATAAATTAATCAACTGTTAGTAAATCCACTGTTAATAAATTAATCAACTGTTAATAAATTAATCAACTGTCAATAAATTAATCAACTGTTAATAAATTAATCCACTGTTAATAAATTAATCAACTGTTAGTAAATCCATTGTTAATAAATTAATCAACTGTTAGTAAATCCACTGTTAATAAATTAATCAACTGTTAATAAATTAATCAACTGTTAGTAAATCCACTGTTTACTAATAAACTAATTAAAACCTATTCACTTGTTCTTAGAAGTTAGAAAGACAAATGACAATATTTAATAATAATAAAATGACGAAAAAATTATATGAACAGTTTACCGACCAATCAGAGAGCCCCGTTTCATTAGTTAGTTGTCAAATCTAATGTCGAAAAAAACGTTTGTAATAAAACAACTACTAATAAATAAAAAATTAATGAAAAAAACATTGTCCAGCAGACAAAATTGTGAATCTAGACCAGTAGTCCCCAAACTTATTTTTCTCGTGGACCACTTTCAAAATTTTACTGGTTTCGGTGGACCCCCTGCTGCTACATTTCTACCACATTCTTAGAGACGCCAAAAAATAAAAATTGTGTCACTTCTGAGCTCTGTCTCTATATTCCGATAGGTAAAATAAAATTTTAGAAATTTTGGAAACAAATGAATGAGTGTTTGCCTTTGGCATCAAGTATTTATAGTGGTGATCAAGTTCATGTCTGAACAAGCATTAAGCATTGTCGGGCGAATAGCGCTTTGCAAGTCTGTACACGAAATTGTACGTAATATCGAATACGCAAGTTTGGACAAGTAACAGTCGCTTGCCTTATTAAAATATTATCTGCTTAGTTAGGTACTTAAAACAATGTAGGTAGGCCCTTATAAAAACTATGCTTACATTTTTGCTCTTTACTATCAAAAGCAGATAAATTTTCGTGGACCCCCATTTTTTGTTCACGCCTACGTAGAGCCCCAGCAAGTCTCTCGTGGACCCCTGGGGGTCCACCTGGACCACTTTGGGAATCACTGGTTTAGCATAATCAGGTTTGTAGTTGGAAATTGCCAATATTAAAGAATCTAATGTATGAGGGTCTGTCAAGCGAGAACGGTGTTTAGTTTTGGTTTGGTTTAAGTAGGAAAATGCTGATTCATATAAATATGTTGAACCATAACACAAATGAAGTTGTTCAATACATTTTTTCAAATTTGGGTGTTTTTCTTTGGAAACCAATGCCCAGAATCTTAACCTGAGGAAGACCTTGCTTTTAGAAATATGACGCAGCGCAGAGTAATGATTTCGTTTTTTAACATCATTTGATTCATTTGAAATGTATTCGCAAATTTTTTAGGGAATTCATAGATATCACTGAACTTAATCACTATCAACTTATAAATTGAACCAACTTCTCAATTTGTCTGAAATCACAAAACCGAATTTCAAAGTCTGCTATCACTGCCCTTATTTCTGTCGTGTACTTCTCAGAAATGAAATTATAGGTAGGATGTTTTTCCATATGATCCTTGGTGTTTACAAATTGGTCAAATTTTTTCTTCTCTATGTCAACTATCATAGATTCTGTTTGACTTTGAAACGCTGCAATAGAACTCATCATTTCTATTAATGTTTTATTCTTGCCCTGTAGATTCAGATTTAATATACTCAGTTTACAAGTAAAATCATCCAAAAAAGCTAAATCACACTGCCAGTGTAAATCACGCTATTGATGAAAATCATCACGCCTTTCACAAGAAATATTATTATTTCTTCCAAGAGATTTCGAAATGTTTGCCAAGATTTGCTTCGTCTTAATCACCTTAGGACAGTGTGCAATGCAAATACTGATTGCGTTTCATGTAATTGCTGTTTAAAGAGCCGCCTTTGGAGGGATTTTAATTTTATGGAATTTACAATTTTAAAAGAAAATTTTAAATGAAATTAATGTCGTCAACTGTTACCTCACCGATTGTTGGGTGATAGGGGACGGATTGACACTTGAGACACGGCGCTCCCCCGTAACCCACACGCTTCCCCCTTATTGGTCATTGCGTGTCGAAAACAAAACACTACTTTGTAGAATAGAAAAATTATACAAGACGGTGCTACAGTTGTTGATAATTAAAATGCGCAGTCTGTTCTATTTATTGATATTTTTAGACTGGCCACGATCGACTGGACTAATGATCGCGATCGACCGGTTGGCCACCCCTGGTCTATATAGTCTGTTAATAATAAAAAAGTGATAACGATTTTGATGAAACTTTCCTTCAATTATAGACTCTTGTGATTTATCATTGGTTGATCATGTAAAAGCTAGTTAAATATTATTTTGATATTATTTAAACTGAGAATTAATTATAATTAGACGTTTATATGTTACTAGAAAGAAATTTAAAAAAATATGATATAGAATAGAAAAAAACTATTTCAATTTTGACACTAGGAATTAAAAAAAAACAATATTATTTATTGTATATTTCATAGTTGATAGAAAAATTAATATTAGTACATTTTTAAACTTGTTCCCTTATATTGCTGGTAAATAATATTCACATAATAACCATTCAATTATGACCAAAAATTTTAAATTATCTACTACATACATAAAAATTTTACCACAATTTGACAAACAAACAAAAACACGAAAAAACAATACATTCTTAAATTTATAATAAATAATAAACTGTAAATATTAAAATGCAATTTATTTAGGTATTATTTGTGTTAGTATAGGTATAAATTTTAACTATGATGGCAACACCTGTTATAATATATTATCTTGTTATTAATAATGTACTAATTAGTAGTTACATGATACATTAAAAAAAGAACGATAGTGTAACAACTAGTATATTCTATAAAATATATTTCAACATTTATTGCCAATGTTGCTATTAATATGTTAAAATTTCATTATTAGTGTTGCCATTTAAAACTGTTAAAACATGTAAAAATAATTAATTCTTGCTCAATTCTTCAGTGATGATGTCCATATAGTGTGATGTGAACACAGCCTTATTATGCATGACGTAACGCAGCAGTGTACCGGAAACGGAAGTCAGCTCATTAGTGAAAGCTGACAAACCAACAGGAACTTGCCTCGCGCCACCAGCACAGACTAAAACCATTTTCAAGAATTCCAACACCCTTTGACCTTGAAACATACATATATTATGTCAAAAGTATTACTAAATATAACAAGAAATTTATTTTACATACATATAAGTATATGTTTTGTTATATATTAGAAACCTCTTAGCATTTAATGTATTCACTGTGCGGGTTCCGGGTCCATCGTTGCAGGGAGAGGAGCTTCAACAGTGACTGTGACTTGTGACCCATGTATAGGTTTAAGGGTCCCTATCTAACGCGCGTTAAACGCTCATTTCCACTGTACAAGCTCCTCTCTCTTACAAATTTGAAAATAACATACTAGGGCTACCTTCAAAAGAATGAATTAATGTTAGTTCTGGACAAGCCCAAGTCTTTTAGTAGGTTGTAGAGAGATTTAGCCGTTATATAATATGAATACTCACGAACAATCTGCCTCACTCTATGTTCATTGTCTCTCAATGATAGTATTTGTGACCGAATAACATCTTTCGTTTCATTTGTGAGTGGAGCCTGACCCAATGTTTCCAATAACTGATCCGTCTCTAAAACCACTTCTTCAGCAACAGATGGTAGAATTTGTTTTAATTCACTGAAATAAAATTTATTATATATAATATGGATACTAAAATATTTAGCGAACTAAATAGATTATATTTCTTTCAGACTTAATAAGTTGGTTAGGAAAATTACTGTATACTATAGTTTGTATGTGCCATAAAAAGAAATATTGCACTTATAGACTAATAAACTCATAATAAGCCAGTGGCTAGGTTAAAGGCCCGTCTCTCGTGCATGAGGGCGCGGGTTCGATCCTGGCAAATACTAATGTGATTTTTCCGAGTTATGTACTTTCTAAGAGTATTTAGACACCACTGACAGATGGTGAAGGAAAACATCGTGAGGAAACCTGGACTTATAGTTTCACAATTATAAGTTTGAAATCACCAACCCGTCTTGAGCAAGCGTGGTGATTAATGCTCAAATCTTCTCCATGTGAGAAAGAGGATTTTGCTCAGCAGTGTTCTCTGATAATATAGTACAAATATATATATGTATGATAATGTAACTTACATATCATTGCTCGTAGTGTCCATTATAATGAATATCTTTTCTTTCAATTTCTGTTTATGTGTCGTCTGTTCACCACAAGATGGACTCACTAGTAACAACGATGCAACACACACAAGTCTATACACTTGTATACCGAGCTCGGTGAAACGTGGCTTGTCAATATGAAGAGTCTTAAAAAGTATGAAAACTATATATTATTATTTTAAAATATTAGAATATAGAATGAAAAATTCATCAATACTAGCATAATTTTAATATGCAACCTTTTGATATAGAATTATAGTTGCTGAAATTAATCTCATCATTTTTTCAAAATATTAGCTTATCATTCATATTATGTTAAATACATTATCCCTGCTAATATTATAAATGCGAAAGTAACTCTGTCTGTCTGTTACGCTTTCACGCCTAAACCACTGACTGATTTTAATGAAATTTGGTACAGATATAGAGTTGACCTTGAGAGAGAACATAGTATGGTTTTTATCCCAGACTTTTGAAAGGTTCTTTTGGAAACGCGATATAACCGAACTCCACGCGGGCGAGGCTGCGAGCGGAAAGTTAATATGATATAAATATTATTTTGGTATGTATATGTACTAAAATGTATACATATATATATGTACTAGTAGTTTCGAGATTAGCGCTTTCAAACAAACAAACAAACTCTTCAGCTTTATAATATTAGTATAGATAAGTAATTATATTATTTATTTTTACCTCCGGATAAGTCTTACTATCATCCCATTCTAATAGCTCCAGGTATGCTTTAGCCAATGTTTGTGCGGTAACATTTCTTATAATATTCACATCAGATATTGGTAGACTCAAGTCACTTTTGTCTATATGTCTGAGAAGCCATTGTCTTGTGTGTTGTAAACCATCTAGAAACAAAATTTGAGAGTGTAATTAATTTAAACACATTAATTAATATGGTAAAATATTTTCACAAATTTTAACTTATTAAAATTTTAACTATCTTACAACTAAGGGTGGTTAAATGTTATAAGCTTTTTGGCACTTATTGGTAACATATTAGTATATAAAAAAAATACGATATCAAATCTGAATTTAAAAACAATTTCAACACTAAGTTTCAATCAATATAATAAGGCCCATATACAGGGTGACTGGTGAATTACTATCGATACTTGAGGACGTGATATTTAACGATCATATATGACAAAATAAAAATTAATATAACATAAATATTAATAAACTTCTAAGTAAAGTTAACCAAAAGTTATGAAATTAATTACGCATCGTGTGAACACCCTACAGATTAGGTATACACACACTCACACACACGCGGCGGGGGCGTGGTTTTGTATCAGCACGCCGCCGCACGCGTCCACACTTGGAACACTTGGAACGTGTCAACACTTTATTTATTTATATGGAAATTTGGTCAAAAATTAAGTAACTATTTTTTTACATAATTCGAATGAGAATCATGTACCGAGTATGCTCCTTAAATATTGATAGTAATTCACCAGTCACCCTGTATAATTGTCATTACCTTCTGAAACTTTGAGCATTTCATCAAACTTAGTTCTTTCATATTGGACACTTTCCTTCTGTACGTGTGGTCGAATCATAGCTATCAGAGTATTGGCAAGATCTAGCTTCAATATTTCTAAAGCTTCTAGAATTGCTCTGAAGAGATCTACCTGAAAATGGTTTACAATAATATATAATTCTTTAATAAGTATATATATAAAAGATATTTAAGACTTTCGCGAGTATTCATTTAAATGAAACTAATATTTTCAGATTACTAGGTGTTATTTTATTAATTTAAACTACACACTCCTAATGTTTCGATTACTTTGTAGCAACCATTATCATAGGCAGATGAGATGAAAAGTATATAGTTTTAAAGTAATAAAATAACTTTTGGTAGTCTTAAATCTCATATTATTATTCATGTCAAATATTGCAGATTATTTTTATATAATTTATTACCTATTATCTGGAGGTTCAAACGGTTCCAGCTTGAAGTCCTGGTCAACAGCGATCTCATGAGCCAAAGCCATGTTCTGCATGCCATGAGCCGCTTTCATGATGTCCTCAAGAGTAACAAATTTTGGAGGAGATGCCCCAGTGATAGTAGAACCACGAACTCTAAATGTTATTGGCTCACTGGCGAAATAGCTGGAATATAAAGAAAAACATGTTTTATAGAATGTATATATGACAAAAAGTATAATACTAATATTATGTTGATTATTCTAATATAAAGTATTAACCTGGGTCCACTAGGCCCAGACTGGTTAGGAATTCTCATTCCCTTTTCACCATTGTCTTGCGATCCTGAACTCCCAGGCCCCTCACGTTCACTCATGATGAAATCTCGTATTGAACTAACTCAATAACTTTCTTGACCCCAGTCAACCCATAAAAGGCAGGCTCCCTTAAGGTAAGACGTCAAAAACGTATAACTTTACCAGAACAATCACCCTGATTCATAATATAACCTTACTTTTCGAACAAAGGAATAACCATATTTTTTGAAAGAACTAACGATATTTGTTTTTTCAATCGAACAAAGCATCAATAATTTTTATGATAAAAAGACCGTTTTAAATAATAATTATTTCTTATATTTTTATTATTGTTTTCGTATTAAGTTACTTGTCAATTTACCAAATGTCAACTTTTTATAAAGAAAAATGACATCATGCAATCTATTCATTCATGAAGTTTGTGAAGGAAGATAAAACAACCTCTTGAACTATTAAAATAAACTGAAATTTCTTGCTATTTTTAGTATACGTGAAAGAAAAAGAAAAGAAAGGATTTTATTTCTAAAATCATTACTGTGATGTTCTGTATTTATATCTCAGAATTATAAATAAAACCACCAAATTATCAGTAAGTAAATACACAACTCAAGAGAACGTTCTCCCGCCTCCGATGACAGATCGAAGTGCTAGTGACGCGCCACAGTTGATATGTGTACTATATTTTATTAAATGTCACATCTCTTCCTTTTTATATGTTAAATAATTATTTTAATCACAAGTTATTTCAATTTTAAATACAATTATTTAGAAACAACAAAGCAATATTTTCATTTAAATCAACAAAACAATATTTCTCATTTAAATGAACAAAACAGTATTTTTCATTTAAAATCAACAAAACAATATTTTTCATTTAAATCAACAAAACAATATTTTTCATTTAAATCAACAAAACAATATTTTTCATTTAAATCAACAAAACAATATTTTCCATTTAAATCTATCTATTATTAATTAAACATCTTTATCAGAATTTTCTTCATTACCAATTACTTTCCATTGACCTTCTACTTTCTTGAGGTGAACTATATTTCTCCTATATTCCTGGCCTGTTTTGTCATTCCTGACATTTATGTCGCTTCCCTCGGCACTGATAACAGTATTGGTGTCGGATTAAATTCAGAAGCTAATTTATTTTCTTTTATTACATTCTTTACATAGACTTTCTCGCCAACTTCTAATTCTCTTTCTGTAGCTTTCCTCTTCCTGTCTTCATTTAATTTATTTTACTCTTTTTTTCTCTTTATCTCGGTCTCTTATTTCCGAATCATTATATTTATTTTCAAGGTCAGTTAAAAAAGGTAACTTGTCTCTTAACTGTCTTCCTTAAAACAATTCGGACGGGGTTTTTCTTGTGTAAGGGTGAGATATGCTGTTATACATCATTAAGTAACTTAATAAATCATCTTTCCAATCAGATTTTCCACATTGACTGATCCTTAGTCGCTTAAGTATATCCCTGTTTTGCCTCTCTACCAAACGGGGACGTTTTGCTGTGGCCAGTGAGGAATTGTATTGAAAAGTGTTATGCCATGTTCAGTGCAGAGTTTTTTTAAAATCTTGGCTACAGAATTGTTTCCATTATCGGCTGTTATGTGTCATGAGCGGAAATAGATTTCATAGGTTCAATCTCTTTGTATCGGCTGTAATAGTCGATAGCCTTTTCATGGGTATTGGTGGGTTTGAGGCTGAGACTAATGTACATCCTCTGCATTTTTTTATAGTACTTTCGGCGTCTTTGTCAATCTTTGGCCACCAAACCTTTGTGCGCAATCTAGCTTTCATGTTGACAATACCAGGGTGGTCTTCGTAGGCTGCTGCTAATACTTGTTTTCTCAGTTTAGTTGATATAACAATTTTGTTCCCTCTGTTTTTTATCAAAGCGTCCTTAATCAATTTGAATTCTTTGTCATCATTCGATGCTTCGACTATTGATTTAAGAGATAATGCTGTGGGTCGCGCATATTGAACAATTTGGTTAACATGATGTTTGTCTTCAAAAGAACTTGTTTGCGTCTCGTTAGTACTACTTTTACACAGACGGTATAGTGGGTCAGCAACATATAGCTACAGAGGTAACACAATATCGTTTTTCGACATTTGTCAAACTCTTACTTCCAAAAGCAATAATACGAGGTTCTTTGTTATCATAATGAATTAGTACAGCCCCTAAACCTACAGGACTTGCATCAGTCATAACTTGGGTACGTCCTTTCGGATCATAATAACCTAGGGTAAGAATCTTAGAGAGGCTATATTTTAATTTCTCAAAAGCCTTTTCTTGGTCTTTTGGCAAAAATGCCGTGATATTGGCGTTTTATGAACTTTTTCGCGTAATAATTGCCGAATAGGTTCTGTTGAGGTTGACAGATTGGGGATCAACTTTCCACAAAGTTAATTAATCCCAGGAAACTCTGGATTTCTTCGATGGTTTCTTGTGGTCTATATGTCTCAATTGTTTTAATGTATTTGTCAAGTGGTTTAATGCCTAATGACGAAATTTCGTGACCTAGGAATTGTATAGTATTTGCATTTAAACACATTTTTTTTTTTGTATTTAATAAGACATAGTTGTATTTTAGCACTGACAATACTTTTTTGAGCCGGGTATCATGCTCATTTTCATCACGCCCAAAACAACGATATCATCTATAAAATTTACAACTCCTTCACATGGCAATAATATTTTTTCCCATAATTTTTTGGAAGTGCTCTGGTGCGCAGAATGTGCGTGAATTAATTGTTCTATCGTGGGCAGGGGATGATTTTCCTTGATGATAGCTTTATTGGCAAGTCGCATATCCAGGCAAATATGAATATCATTATCAGGTTTTAGAACCGCTACCATCGAAGAAACCCAAGAGGATGGTTTGTTTACAGGTTCAATGATGTCCAATTCTACCAGTTCATCGATTTTTTTATTTATCTTAGATTCCAAAGGAATAGGAACTCGTCTATAAGGTTGGCAAACTGGAGGAACCGTTTTGTCTTTAGTAATTTCTATTTGGACATCTTTGAACTTGGGAAATTGTTTTGTTCAATTGAATTTATATCAAAACCTAATTTTAACAAGTTAAGGGAGATAGCAGTTTCTGTACCCAAAAGATTTTGGAACCATTTACTATAGTACAAAATTTAGCAGTTATTGATTTAGAACACACTTTTATTTATGCATCAAATAAGCCTAGCACTTTTAGTGGTTCTTTAGCACCGTAGGCTAGAACGGTTTTGTCTGAATATTTTGTGGATTAGAAACTATAACATTCTATTTTTTCATGTACTCCCATCCCAAGTTGTATCGTTTATTATATTAGATTTACTACTGGAATCTATGAACATTTTGATATTCACCCCTCCTACTTGACAGTCACAGTTCCATCATCATCAATGTGAAATATGTAGTCTATAGACGTAGGCTCTTTATTTTGGGTGTATCTTGTTTGTACTTTTTAACAATATTATTGTCATTTGACCGGAGATTAGTATTTTTCTTTTATTGGCCCTTGTTCTACAGTGCTTCTGAAAGTGACCTTTGAAGCCACACTTCAAATAATTAGTATTAATTGCAGGGCAGGAACTATTATTTTGTGGTTTTTACTACCACATCGGCTACAGCTTAGATCAATGTCTTTTTTCATGTAGCATTTGTTTGATTTAGTATCTATTTTATTGATACTGGAAGTAGTGTTTTGTCTATCGGGGAACTCATTTAATTGTCTAACTTTTTTACTGCAATGTCATAACCGTCAGTTTTGTCAGTTACATGAGCTCTAGGTATGTTAAAATATATATAAATATATATATATCTTGTAATGGCATGCCTCCGGCATGTAATAGAATTGCACGTTTTTTATTTTGATCATTTGAGTTTAAATTACAAAATAAATTTCTTATTTAATTAAATTACTTTTCTTATTTACTACAAAGTAAATTTCTTATTTAATTAATTAAATTTCTAATGCATGTTTCCATCTCTCCCAACGCGAGCCTAAAGAGGTTGGATCACCTTCACAATCGAATGGTTCTATTGTCAGGACTTGTGTTAGGGACATGTTGGATGATCTGCAAATGAGGTCAAAAGAAAACCTCTTTAGTATATTAATGTAGTGCAGAATTTCAAGTTTTTTAGTATTATATTATTATTTTTTTATATACCAGTCAGTATTAAGTGAATAACAGGTTTGTTTTTTTTTTTTTTTATTATTATAAATAAATAAATCACTATTGTTTACTTTAATCACTATGATAAACAATTAAAACTATGAAATTAATAATATGTTTTAAAAATTAAAGCTTAAAAATTATTTATATTTGAACTGTATAGTAATTAAATTAATTAATACTAATTAAATTGAATTATTTATTAATTGGATAATATTTTGATTGTAAATGTAATTTCATAGTTAATTTATAATAAATTAAGTTGTTACTAACATAGGTATAAGTAAAATGTGTACTGAAAAGAAAAAGATAGGTCAAAGATGCCTAAATAAATAAATTATTATTATTATTTAGTATGTTGTGTTATTATTATTATTTTTTTTTTCTTTTTGTGACAACAACAATTATTTTTAACTTGAAACCGTTATCTCATTATATTTAATTTCCACTTGGTTTTAAAACAGTCAGTTAGTGTATAACAATAGACATATGTATAAAGAATATATTATTTATTCTTATAGGGTCTCATTTGATTGAATCAAACTCGATTAGCTTTTTGTTAAAGCAGGTACTTTATGAAATATATTCATTGGAACATTTAGTTATTTGATCGAATTTTATATATTCGATGGTACTTAATGAAATATATTCATGGAAACATTTAGTTATTTGATCGAATTTTATATATTTGATGGTACTGAATGAAATATATTCATGGAAACATTTAGTTATTTGATCGAATTTTATATATTCGATGGTACTTAATGAAATATATTCATGGAAACATTTAGTTATTTGATCGAATTTTATATATTCAATGGTACTTAATGAAATATATTCATGGAAACATTTAGTTATTTGATCGAATTTTATATAT